GGGCGTGCAGGACATGGGTTGGGAAGAGCTGGCAAGAGGGAGCTGGTCACCAGACACAGAACAGAGTGACAGGTCAATGGGTGGGAGTCCTGGGGACCGAGGTGGCAGAGGGAAGCCAGACGTGGGGAAGAGTGAAACAGGAGAAGCAAAAAGAGCATCAGAAAGAAGCATCTGAGCATCTGCAAGGGTCATCACCTTCTGGGAAAAGCCGCTCACCTCTGCATGTTTCTGCTGGACAGAATTAGTGCTGGACTGGCTGACAAGTTGAGTTAGAAGACGACAAGGAGCTCATCTCATTTGTTTGAAATTCACTTCTGCTCCAGATGGTAATTTTGACACCTTACTTTAACCTAAAAAACATTGCACCTGTCGCCCTTTCGGGCTTCTGAAAAATACATGGTAACTTTCTTTCTCCCATTTGTTGAATGACAATGTTAAGAATAACTTAAGGGCATCTCTGTGAGTCACCGTAACATCAGGCTAAGTGCTCTATACACATAAATTCTCACAATGACATCGGCTGCATATACAATTATTAGCTTTATTTTCAACGTAAGCCAAAGCTCAGGCAGGGACTGATCTTTGACCCAGTGCATGGAGTATTTCAGAATTTTAGGAAAGGGTCATTTTTGGCATCATCAAGGCAAGAAGAGATTCAAATATAAACATAACTTGCAGTAGATCAAGAAAACATGGACTAGCTTTGAGGGAGACATAAAACATCTTTCAAAACATCTCACTAAACAGGATAAAATAGTCCTTAGATCAGAAGACTTTCTGAATTCTTTTCCAGTTCTGGATTCTAGGAGTCTAGTATTTGGGCTATGATATGATTTTCTTACAAAAGTCAATATTTTAAAATGCAAAATGTTTCCACTGGGAAACATCTGAGAGATAACTGGGAGGGGCCATGGGAGCCCCGATCCCTCTGGTTGGAGTGCATGGCAGCCAGTCATCCTCATCCAATCCACACATCTCAGCCCTATGAGCCCCTCTTGGGGTCTCCTCTTGTGGAGTCCTCGCTGCTGTCCATGCCTTTGTTTCTGCTAGTCCCAGCATGTGGAATAGCTCGCTTCCCTCCTGCCTTCCAATGCAAATCTCACAAGTTTCAAAATCCACCTCATGCAAAACCTTCCCAACTGGACAAAACTCTAGATGACGATCTTACCTGTTCTTGCCATCTTATGTCCCTCCAGTCTTCTGACCTTATCATCCAGCACTTAAATATTATTTCATATACTTTTCTAGTTGTTTTATGAAAATTGTTTTCACAGCAAGTTTATGACTTTCTTTATCTATTTCAAAAGTTGAGCACAGAGCAGGTCTCTCACTCATGCCTGTCAGTTAACAGGCAACCTTTGGCAAGGTCATTGCTATCACGACCTCATTATCTTAGAGGTGATACAACTGAGGATGATCTGGAGTTTGTTGGTATCAATAGATAAACCCAGAGTATTAAAAACTGAATAATACGCTAAGCTTAATTTAGGATCTATTTCTAAAGTAAGAGTCCATGGTCCCAAAGGTTTCAGATGAGGAAGATGAGGGAGAAGAAAACTGAAGAGATGACGAAATGTCGTACAACAGGGGTGGTGAGGACCCAAGAGGCTAACGTCCAACCTCGCCCCATCGCCCACTGGAGTCTCCAGCCACCCTCCCCACTGCTCTGCCTCTTGATCTGAATAAATGCTCCTGCCTACGGGCGCTATGCCCTTTGAACAGTTCCAACTCACCCTGAAGGAACTGTGACATTTTAGTGGTGGGTGAGGTTACTCCTCTGTAAAAAGTTTATCTGTTGGGAATGCAGTTTTTGGAAGAAAGACACTATTTAAAAAGAAGAACACTATTCCTTTGACAGCCCCACAGAGTGGGGCAAATGAATTAGAAACAGCAAATCAAGTCCCCAGCTGGTATCAAGCCTTGGGAGGCTGTCAAGTGCAGCCTCCTGTTTAAAGCTGGTCCCCATATTTTGCCATGACCGATGAATTCCACCGTTTCAATGGGAATATAACAGCTGTAACACCGTCAAGAAATGCTTTTCTTGGAATATGGACAAGGAGGTAAAATGAGGAGTGGGTTTACTGGAGAAGAGATTCTTTTAACATGCCTCTTGGGATAACATACTCTGAATGGAAAACTTTTGGTGTCATAAGTTGTAAGCGAGTATGAAGAGTGCTTTAGAAACGAGCCAAAATTTCATGTAGTACAGCTCACAACTTGGCTTGCAGTCCACCAGATCCATGCAGGTAGGTATCTACCCAGAAAATGATGTAACAGCCCCTGCCACAGTTAATTCAAGAGCCTAAAGGAAGAGGTGCAGAGTAAATAAATGCTACGACCTCTTCAGAACCACTAGGGTTAATTGAACTAGAAGTTACTCCAAAGGAGGGAGATTTTTTTTCCCCCAGAGGAACAGACTTCCAGGGTCTCTATGAGTTTAGACCTGCATCCTGAGGCTGCCCAGGATCAGGACGGTTTCCATAAAAAAAAAGTCCGCAAGGCCACCTTTTGTTGGGGGTTTTCCTTATCAAACTGTATCACTTTTGAAGTAACGGGATTTCTTTCAGATCATCTAATTTTGCTTCTCTTGAAACAAGACACTTTTGGGGCTATGTAATCAAAGTGACATCTTTCAATCCATCTTCTCTTTGCCACCAGAGAGTGTAGCAGTACAACCACTATGCAAGTGGGAAACGCCTGGCATTAAAAGAGAACAGGCTGTTTTCTTTTTATGTTGCTTATTGTAAAAATAAGGAAATTAGTAATTATTGAGAAGAAGTACATCTTTATGGGATGTTTAGTTAAACCTAAAAACAAGCAAGGCCCCTTTTCTTGTGTTTAGGATTCCATACATGATGGGTAAAGCTTTTCTCCCCAAAGGGTTAGAAGTTTTGAACAAGAAAGGTTAAATAGTCGGTGTAGGAAGTTCAGATCTTACACCATCTGGTCTCTTCACTTATTCCCTTAATTTCTGTTTGGAAAAAAATCTGTCTAGCCAATGGCAGGGTTCCCCCCATACTCAAACAACAAAATGGTCCGAGGGCAGAAGTAAAAGTAGAGAGAAGACATGTGCCCGATGGCAGAGCCCTTAGCATCCGTCCTATAATTAATCTATGGGGTCTGACTCAGACCTGTGGACCTCTGTTATGGGACAAGTGTGGCACCTGCACTGTCATTCCTCCAAAGCACAGCAGAAAAGGGCTTTGCTTGACAGCATGTGCAAAGGGCCTGTGAACTGGTAGACAGAGTACCAACTTGAGTCATGGAAAGGTATTTATGAAGGAACTTAGGAAACGCTCATCATTAAGTGTGGCACAAGAGAAATTAAAACAGAATTACTAACGGTCCCAGAAAAGCAATTTCACCACTAGTAGTTAATGTCTAACTACTTCTCACTTAAATTTAAGAGCGTGAGTTCATGTTGACTCTAAGTTCCCATGCTACTAGCAGAAGTCAATATTCCATCCCATGATAATCTGGAAGAACTCTTCAGAGGTGGTAACATTTATGCAAATGAAAAGCAGAATTAAATCCCAGGTTGAGAGATGCAGCCTTCGCCTGGGTCACAAAACTTTGTTCCTGGAGACCAGCAAACAGGTTACCATGGTGAGGAAGTTATTTTGGTCTATTTCAGTTCGAATCTTTCTAGGGCTTGAAAGCTGCAGGAATGACATCCTCTCAACTCCTCTGAGAAAACATATTTTATTCTTCAAAAGACACATCCCGGTGATAAGAAAAACAGTATCTAGTCCTCTGGGTGGGATTAGCTAGCTGGGTCATCCAATTTAGCCCTGGAGCTGGAAGACAAGTTTCCCTCTGGACTGAACCCTTCTAGGTGCTGGCGAAAAATCTTGACAGTTTTCCCCACCCTTTATAATTCCAACCCAAATGCTATAAATTAAAACTGCAGAAATCAGCCTCTGGTGAAGACAAATGAAGTTGAACAGAGTCCAGCTTCCACCCAGAAAGCCGGGCTGCACCTGTGGTGGTGACTGTTTGGGTTTGATCTGCAAAACCAGCATGAACTCCAGTGAGAGATCTAAGAAAAAGTGTAATCTCCATAGAGGCAAACATAATGTTATTTTGAATCCTCTCTTCCACTATTCTTGAATTACCCTACATTTTTCAGCTTGGCCATTCAACAGTGCTCCCAATTACTCTGGATTTCAGGGGCAAAGCTAATACAAACTTAATTTGATTCTTAGTGAGTTTTTTTAAACTAATAAGAAAGATGCCCTTCTACACATATGGTCAGGATCTCACGGCATCAGTTATTTTCAAATTGTTCTAACAAGTCTAACGGGGTCCTGAATACATGGAAAATGAATTCAGAGATTCATTCATTTCTCTGTAACACTAGAGGGCAATCACGTGGAGACAAGAAAGAGTTTTTTATCCATAGTTGATGTTACTGTTATACTTCTCTGTTCAGGCTGAACTGTGTCCTCCCCTAAATTTATATGTTGCAGTCCTAACCTCTAGCACCTCGGAATGCGGCCTTATCTGGAAATAGGATTTTTGCAGATGTAATTAAGTTAAGTTAGGGTGAGGCCATACTGCGGCAGAGTGGGCCCCTAATCCACTGTGACTGTGTCCTTGTGAGAAGGGGCGATCCTGGACACACAGACAACACCCAGGGAGAGTGTCCTGTGCAGACGAAGGCAAGGCTGGGGCAGTGCATCTCCAAGGCACGGAAGGCCAGGGATGGCCAGCAAACCACCAGAAGCTGGGAGAGGAGCGCGGAGCAGATTCTCCCTCACCGACAACAGAAGGAACCAACCCTGACCACACCTCGACTTTGGACTTCCAGCCAGCAGGACTATGAGACAATTACTTCTGTCCCTTCAGCCACTCAGTTGTGGCACTTTGTCACGGCAGCTCTAGAAAACTAATACACCCACCAAGAAAGAGACGGTCATGATCAGGACCTATTCATTTTCCTAAACAGATTCTTTCACATGGGAATTATCCCAAAGAGGGAAAAATAGTTTGCTTCTTACCGTCAATTCTTGGGGAACAGAACTTGGCTTCTTTATGTTGATCTCAATGCCACTGTTGTCTTGTTTCAGCTCCACGGGGGACCCATGCACTCTGGCCACACCTTCAAACATCTGGGATTTGGTCAACGAGGGGGCGGGTGCTACCGTGGGACCCTCTCTTTCCTTCTCCTCCTCATCACCAGGAACCGTCTCTCCGTTCATGCTGACTTTCCCATCTACCTATAAAAACCGGAATGAACAAAAATATGCTATTTCCCAACGAAAGGCTATAACAAAATAACACATTCAGAATCACCTTACATCATTATCACTTAATAATCATAGTCCAACAAAGAATAAGGTCTCTTATATGTCAGTTTTAGAAATCAGGGCCCCTCTAAACGCCATCCTTGAGGGCTTCTTTAGAAGCTGGTCTGCCTTTTCAGGCGGCTTCACCTTACTCACCTGACTGAGGGTCTGCTTATACTCTGAAGTATAGAAAGTCAGGGGATCTTAAGTATAAATACACGTCATGTATTTGGGTTCTACTAATTTTTCGTTTACATTCTGATTGCTATTCCACAATTTTGAGATTTTCTTTCTGATTAGCCTACAAAGTAGGTGGAACTCATCTCAGATCAGGTTACAGTTACAGGTTATCCTGTCATGGTCGGGGCAGTGGGAACTGTTCCGAAGCTATCACAGAGGGCAGGGAGCCTGCCACTATGCTATGTTACAGCAAATCCCTAGTTCCCGTTAATTTGACAATCATGGTTTTTTCAAGAAAAAAAGGCCATACACATTAAAATATTTCTGTTTTGCACCCACATCTAGGGAGGGTGCTGGGAGCAGGAAAGGAGCAGTGAGGGTGGTTAGTCTGACTCATTGAGAGGCATCTAGAAGTCTCTGTCCTAAAGTCCGACCATATGCCGAGCGGTTACGAGAGGACGCTCTGCGGGCAGATGGTCTAAGACCGAGTCCCTGAGTCCAGCCGAGGCCAGTTGTAGCTCAACCACTTGACGCCACATAATCTTCAACCTCGGTTTCCTCATCTTGACAATAATAACAGCATCGCCCTAATAGTGCAGTTACGGTGATTTTATGGATTAATATATGTACAGAATTTAGAACAGCATCTGGCACATTTTAAGTACACAAATATTAGCTATTCTAATTATTAAATCTTCTAAAATCTTTTAAAAAGAACAACAGAAGGCCAGATATTACAGTTTAGCTACCTCAAGTCAGTGGCTTGTTTAGTCTATGGCCTGTGATCCATAAAGTTTAAATCACCACTGAGTGCACACACATAAAACAGAAATAGGAGTTTTGCAAAAATAATATTTACCTTTATTATGTAAATACTAGGCTATACTAGGCTGGTTTTTTAAAATGTATTCTGTTCTACTTCACTTTTTTAAAAAAAGAACGCTGATTCCAAATCACTAAGTTGATTTATAACCTAGCAATAGGTGGCAACTCTCAGTTTGAAAACACTACCTTAAACCATTTCACTTGCTCTTCCTTTACTCTTAAATCTGTTTTACTAAGAAACTGAGCCTGTATTCCCTGCCTCCCATGCCCTCCTCCTCCCCACAAGAAAACACACACAGACACACACACACACTCCTCTTAGCTTCAGTCCCGGAGTTACGTGCTAACAACTGTTTCATTTACACGTTACCTTTGACCGCTAGCGGGTCCGCCCGCTCAGTGATGGGGCTGTGAGGCGGGCTGACAGCCGTCAACACCTATCACGTGTTGAGGGCTCACTGGTGAACCCCAGCTCTAGAAGGATCTCTACCCAAGTTCCTCAACCCAGCGCTCCATGAACGCTCTTCCTGAGGCCGCTACACTGTCTTGCCGCAAGGGCAAGGGACTGGGTTTTCTCAGGGCCAAAGTCTCACTATGAAGTCATCTGTCCTAATTCTTCTGCGTCAAGAATCACATTGTACAGTTTTGTAAAGGAAAAGAGTGGACATCCAGGTTAACCAATCAGATGCCTCAGATATCAAGCAAGGTAAATGGATTGCCTACTCCTGTTCTGGGCCACCTCCACATCTAATCTGCTTTCATGAACTGTCACAGGTGGCTCAGCGCCATGGGCACAGGTGAAGGAGGGCTTCTGAGCACACATGATCACATGCATAACTGTGTGTGCGTGGGTCTGCGTGACAAGGGACTCATCTTCTCAGGAAAAACTAGTGCATTTAGTCAACAGACACTTGCTGAGCGCCTGGGCACCTGCACCAGGCTCTCAGGATAAATTCCTGGACAACAAAGACACAGCCCCTGCCCCTCAAGGGACAGACATTCTAATTGAACCTAGATGAGACAGCCAGGACACTTTCCTTTTGTTCTATCAAAGCCTAAGGCACAGATTTTTAAGATACATTTAAAGTGACTTAAGCAAAAGTCAAAATGTGTGGTTTGCTTCCCTCTGAAGTTCAACAGGAAGATACAGGACATCACACGTCTCGATTCGTTTAGTTTAGCAAACTTTCTTCACAGTCACATGTCCGTGTCTGCTACTGATGAATGCCACCTCTGTCTTCTATTAGGGACCCATATGGTGTGCAGGGACGAGGAGAAATGATTTTTCTTTGTAGTCAACATAGCTTAAGACAAAGGATGAGTGCTTCCTCCTTATGTGAGAGAAAAGACTAGGATTTGAGGAAGTAAAAAGATGTTTGGCTGTCATAGATTCTTTGGTTCTGGAACATTATTTTACATATTCATTGGCAAAAAAAAAAAACACCACCAAAAAAACCCCCAAAACCACCAATGTAGTTTCTTTACACTTAAAAAAATTTAAAAGTCTGTCTCATCTGAGGACCAAAGACATCCCACCTGTTCCTTGTATTATTATTTTTCAAATTGTAGCATCTTTTTGGCTATGATGTCAGCTTTTTCCTAAAAGAGAGGTAGCTGTATATATTTCTATTTAAGCCGAAGGCAATTAAAATTTTGTTTTGAGGAACCTGCAATAGCTCTAGATAGCTGGACATACTTATGGTGTAACTAAACTAGGGTTTGTTACCACTACTAGGGAAACCATGCCATCATATCAAAGCATGAAATAGACCATGAACTAGACCTTGCTCAACCACCAATGAGATGACTCAACCACCAGTCTTGTCAGAGTTCACCAGTATTAACAACAGGAATGGAGGGCAGTCATCTATCCCTGAATCACCTGCCAACCAAATCTCAGAGGCACGTAAACTTCACAACTGTACTTGTGAACACGTTTTGCTTTCGTTTGATAAAAACAATGGCATCTTCTTGAGGCAAGATGCTTCTTTCCATCGACTACCTGGAGTTCAGTTCTGGTTCTACCCTTAAGGGACTTCTCCTACCTTGAAGGTCTTCAGAACCTCTTGAGAGTTTTTGGGCTGGGAGTAAGGCTTGGGTGTCAGCATAGGCACTGCTTTGGGAGTGACAGTTCTGCTTGGAGACCCACTGCTCGCTGACGTGCTGGCCTCCGGAGCGCTGGGACTCGCGATGGTGGTCTCCACAGTGGCAGTGTATTTGGGTGGAGGCAGTGACTGTTGGCGCAGGTATTTCATGGGGTTGGGGTCGTTCAGGTAGGAGGATAAGTTTGGCTCTGTCGAATGGCTTCTTTCCAGAATTTTTGGCATCTCCAAGCGTTCAAGAACAGCCTCGCTGATGGTGAACCTCTCGATGTACTGCTGAAGGATCCCTTCTGCCTCCTCCTGGGACCGTGCATTCTGATACGCCTCATGCAGCTCCCTCTCTCTCCGCTCTCTAAAGGATGGGCCCGGGAAGGGAAGCAAGAACAAAGTCAACGGTCACAGAGACGGCAAAGGAGACCTTGGCAGGAACCAAGGCAGAGGCGAAGGGATTGAACAGGGGGTATAATATTGGTGTCAGAGCCAACAATTTTTAGAAAAAGCGCATCTAGATAATACTGTACATCAGACAATGACAATAACAGAAAGAACCTACTTTTCTTGGACAATTTCTCTGTAGGTTTTGATGCTTTTCCTTCGTTCACTCATCCTATCCTCTCCAGCCAGTAACTTCTCCATTTTTTTCCTTTCTTCCTCTTTCTTGATTAAGTCCTGAGAAGCGCTTCTTCTGCGGCTCTTCCAACGAGCCAGGTCCTGCGGGGGTGGGGGAGGGAGACAGAACATTCTCCTTCAGGCTCCCTCATCATTTCTCCTCTTCAGAGGTAAGTGAGCCCTGACTACCGGCCAGGCTGGGGCACTCCCACAGCCCAGTGTAAGGCCGGTGGGAACAGGAATACCCCGAAGGCAGGAAACCTTCAGCTCCACCTACATTATCCACAACAGGTCAGTACATTTATTTAAACATGGAATGTAAAATCCGAGATCGTATTCCATGTCGGTCACCAAATTTTCAAGTAATGCCTCACGGGGTATTGTAAGAAATTTCATTTCTTGCTATTTATGACGTCTGTGTTGTGAATGAGCTTGCTAAGGACAGAATGGTAGGGCTTAACCGCAGACCTATCCAATTCCCTCAGGGAAGGAGGAAAAGGCAGGAAAAAAATGGGCTTTGGGGTTTTACAGAATGTACGATTCTATACATATTAAGTCACCTGATCCTTACTGCAAGCTCACCACAAATTCTACCGGCTGTTACAGCATAATGACAAAAGTTAGGATTCTGGAGTCAGATGGGTGGGGCTGCGGCTGGGGGAAATAGGCGTAGCTCTGCCTCTTCCCCGCTCTGGAATCTCAGGCACGTTCCCTCACTGCTCTGCGCCCCAGTGTCCTCAACTCTAAAGCAGAGATGATAATAATACCTACTCTTGCAAGCCTGTCGTGAGGGTTAAATGAGGCAGCGCACATAAGGTGTCAGGCTCAGTAGACTGTAGACATAATTATTACCGCGTGTTGTCGACTTTGGAGAAGTTAACCTTGACTAAAAGTAGAGTCAAATGTGCTGTAGCTACCTCAGAGTGCTCTGTGAGGACGCAAGGAAATAATCCACTCTCCTGCCCCTCAGCCCCTTTTCAAGCTCTGTCCCTGGCCAGGCTCTTTGCTCTTAGCACACAGACAAACCCAAGGCCCCCATCAGGCCCTGGAGGCTTCCTTCCCTGGTTATAATCCTGGCTCTCTCACTTAATAGCTGTGTGACTTTGGACAAGTTACTCAGCTCTTCTGGGCCTTATCTGTGGAACTGAGAATGACAGTTCCTAGTTCACTGAGTTGCTAAGAGATTAAAGAATCCCTTAGAAGAGTACCTGTGACTGGTTCGCTTTCAGTGTCGGCAATTACTGTTGTCATCATCATCGTTATCAGTTTCAAATATAGAATCTCAAAAGACAGTGCATCCTTAATTCTGTTTTCTTCTTCTTTTTTTGAGGTGGTAGGGGACACAATTGAGTTTATTTATTTATTTTTAATGGAGGTACTGGGGATTGAACCCACGACCTCGTGCATGCTAAGTACGCACTCTACCACTGAGCTATCCCCTCCCTCTAGTGCATCCTTAATTCTGCATTCCACCCACATGCCTCCCTTCTGCTCCCCTCTTTTTTGTGGTCAAACTTCTAGCAAGGGTACTTTCTTTAATCCCCATATTCACTTTGTCACTGTTTGAACTCCTCTAGGGGCCCCCTTCCTCTGCCTGGCTTTCAAGTCCAAGTCTGCCCACCCCGCCTGCTTTTCTGCTCCAAAGGGCCTCTAGCCCCTCAGTTGGAGCGGTCTCCCCACTGCCCACAGCCTTGGCCCGCACTCACATCTTGCCATTTGTCATCCTCTTCCCGCAGCTGGTTATTTATCAGCTGCAGCTGCTCCTGGCGGGCCCTGCTGTGCGGCTGCACCGCGGCCTCCTCCTCACACCGCATGTCAAACATACTCGTGCTCCTGAGTGTGGAGAGAGCAGAGACAGCAGTGGATGGGGGTCAGCGCCCCTCACGCCTCTGAGCGTTTGGGGCGTTCCGCCGCGCGGGGGCGCTACCGCCTTTGGAAAACTGCCCCGGCCCCCCCCCCCCCCCCAGCTCAAGGCAGCAGCGTGGTTTGCAGTGGGCTCCATCCGTCAGCCGGCAGCGGGCATGCTAGCATTGTCACCTCTTCTCCTTTTGCCACAAAAGCCAAAATGTGGCCATCTTTGTCTTCAGGGATGGCTGAATCAGGTCAATTTAATTTATATGCTGAGCCAAAAACATGTTTAAAGTAAAGGGCTAGGAAAAGGTATTTGAAGCTCTGGGCTCCTCTCATTTGTGAATGTATTAGAAAATAAAATGAAGAGAGTTACGATGTGTAACTTGGGGAGAATTTGTGGGGAAGGAAGATGGCATCCCTGGAAATGAAACTTTACTGCAGTAAATGCTTCTTTGTGTGAAGATAGCTTAAATGCTTTCTCCATTAACTGAGGCAATTGCTCCATTTTCAAAAAAAACAGAACAGCCTCAAGTATAAGGCACCATCTTTTCATATTGTATTTTCTGAATTTTGGATGCATCCAACAACTACGCATTAATGATGCATGTGTCTGATATGGTTTATTTCTCTGTGCTATACAACTGTCTGTAAATTGATAGTGCGTTGATAGCATCTTGGAATCAAGAAAATAAGGTACTTTATGGTACGAGTAAGGGACAGAATATATAAATCAGTATATACTTTCTATCCTAAAATTCTTAGAATTATTTCACTTTTTTTTTTTTTTGGTCAGGATACCTCTGAATTTACTCTTTTAAATGCAAAAGGATTGGGAAAGCACATTTTTAAAACCCTTCAGCTGTACATATAATTGATACATTCCACAGGAGCTTATTAAATGTTGGACAAGACCATACGGCCTTTTCTGTGATGCTTATATAGATCTTTGTCAGCAAAAGCTGAGGCAACAAGATAAAAACAGAAATAAAAACCAAAGCAAAATGTTCTCTTTTTTTTTCCTCTCTCAAAGAAATGACTAGCTCTGACACCAAATGGGTTACAAAGAGCCCCAAATCAAGTGGAGGGCCCTTTAAGAACACAAGAACGTGACAGTCCATTTTTAAAGCCAGCTGAATACAAAGAAAAAGTGAAGCCATGCACTTGGACACCAACTGGTTCCAGACATCATCAGTTATGTCTGAAATAGTTATCCCCACGGCCAGACAATGCACAGCAGCAGCACCCCTGGACGCCAGAGGGTTCCTGAGCAGGCAGCTCTCTGGAAGGAGACGATGGCCCCCAGAGCAATGGCTGCCCACGCTCACTGCAATCTGCTCAGAGGAACCTGCATGGATGTGTGGGGCCTCTCCTCTCTCCCTAGATGTTGGATAATTAGTCTGACCTAAGAAAGCTAAAACTGAAAACCGTATTTGTAATCTGTTTTCCTCAAGGGCATTCTAATAATCTAACTGTGTAGGAGGACTTTCTTTGATCTGAGGCTTCTGTTTGCATGAATATGGTAAACCGCCGTGTGGAGCTGTCCACCCAGTCAGGGGACAGTGTTGACTGTGAAAGCTGTGCCTTCCTGAGAGATGAACTGTAGTCCTCAAAGGGGAGGAGGGGCCGAGGACTTTCACCTGTTCTGTGCTATTTATTTGTGTGGTTTAAAGAAGATTTAGGAATTTGCAGAGCTAGGTAGAAAAGTCTAATCCATGGTTTTTAAACTTCATGGATTAAAATTCACTTGAAAAACCTTTCCAGAAAGAGACCAAACTTCATCTCATTCTTCCTTTCAGAATAATAAAAAAAAAAAACCCCTCACCTTTAAATATATCCAATTCAGTTAGTTCATCTTTTAAAGCAATTTACAGTCTTTGTGAAGATCTTAGAGGATATAAACCCCTCTGAGCTGGGTCTCTCTTGTAATCTACTAAATAGTTGGCCGACTGTGGGAGAGAAAGGGGGTCCCTTCCTTCAATTTTGTCATCTATAATTTTTACAGGGCAGAATTTTGGTTTAGGCCACAGTGGGTGACTATAGAGCAAGGTCTTCTTCTGGGACCCCAGGAAGGAGATGGCAGCCTGTGCCGGGATTTGGGAATTCGTTATTGCACTCAAACCGGGGCAAAGCCTTCACAATTGCCTTCTTCTGTCCTAGGTTCCTAGCTCTGTTCCCACTATGAAGCTCTAACTACGTCAGCCTAAACGTTGTGGCCAAAAGCTGGTTAGTGAAATAAAAAGAGAAACTCTTGTTTGCTCTCTCAAATACCAGGAAGTACTATTTTTTCCTAGAGTTTTTTTTTTTTAAGAAACACCAGAAAATTGGCCAAAAAGAGAAATAATAAAACTGCAAGCAATATCTTTATGCCATTCCAAAAAAAGGAACTAAGCAAGATGAGAAGTGATCATACTAGCGAGAAAAGGGGCTGAGTCCCCGTTCAGAAAATGTCCCCTAATTCAGAGGTTGGACTCAGCCTCCAAAGTGAAGAAGTGCATATTGATGGTGTGGGGGATCCCGGACAAGTATAGGTACCAGAATATTAACGTGACTTGCACCAAACCTGTGCTTCTCAGCACGAACAGCCGTGCCCTTGGGCTGCAGGGCCCAGGAGCCTCTCTCGTGGTGGGCTGGCATTTCTGAGGGGCAGGATTCAGTTACCTTCAGGGGAGCCTGGAAATGGTTTCTGGATCAAGTCTAAGGGAAGGGAATTAAGACTAAAAGGGCCTCTGGCTCTCACGGTGTCCAGGCTCCGTGGTGGGGACCATTGGGAGAGGAGGCGTGTAGAAGGGAAGAGAAGGGCAGGAAGGTGAAAGTAAGCATGGAAACATTCTTGGCTTGCCAGGAGGCGGAAATTTCTGTTTGCCTGTGAGGTAGGTCTGCCCCTGACCTGCATTTTCCTTAAAGGGCACATCTTTTTTTGATTGGGCTGTATTTTAAGAATGTGTCAATTATGAATAAATAGAGCCTGTGCCAATAATTGTCCTAAAAGATTTTCCAAAAGGGAGATCGTGGGTGAATAAACAAAACATATCATAAATTTCTATTTAAAAAAAACCAAACCCAAACTCCTGAACTAGACTTTGCCTTTTGTTTCCCGCGTGGCTTCATGTGAATTGCATCCACTCCAAGAAGGAAATTCAGCCCTTCGGATATTCCTAGATAAGACCTCTGGGAAAGAAGCTCCTTTTACTTTTCCTGCTCCATTAGGCTGCTTTTATGTAATTTAGAGGAGTTCCCACCCCAACCCCTTTTTAAAAAAACATTGACTTTTCCTGTGGGTGAGGCTTCATATTTAGGTACAGGCAAAATTTAAGAGCTTTTTAATGTAGCTTCTTTTCTTTCCGTGATGTAGCTTTTAGGGTTTTTCAGAGATCTGTATTAGGCAAATTGCATGGCAGCTTTGCAATGATGAAGAGTAAATCCATTCTATCAAAATGTTTTTGCTCACCAGATCAGAGTAGTGTTCTGCCTATCAATCTTGTATAATCCTCCTTTCAGTGAATGTTAAATATTGCCACTGTAGATTTTAAAGGTAATAACCAAGGCTCAGTTTTATAGACTACTTAACTCCGTGCAGTCAGTCAAGCTCAGGCTGAATTTGAGGTTTTGAGACATGAATGTTCTGTGTGTCAGGCCACAGAGCAATCGTAGATCACACGTCGGAAATTGATATCCTTGGCACCGTGTCGGACTGCTTCGAGCCCCAAGACAGACTAAGCTGCCATCTTGAACACACCATGGAAAAAGCACAATTTGAAAACAGTAAACTTGTGGCCTGATCTCATTGTCATTGGTGGAGATGATATTTGTCTGTCCTATACTGTTATTTAGATTCCTCACCCAGTGACTTGAAGCTGTGGCTCAGGCCAAGAAGACAAGCAGAGAGAATGCTGGTGTTCACTCTTATGATGGCCCAGGCTCCCACGAGGCCATAAAATCCCTCTCTCAGAGGAAAGGCATCAGGGTTAGCGGGCCACTGGTGTTGGAATGAGATAGTAACCATGTTTCTTAAAACACCAATTACTCAAATCTGAGCCAGGTAGCATTCTGCAAAGAAAACTTCTGTCTTGGATATCAGTCCCAGAAGGCTCTGCCTGTGGGAAATCCCTTTTTGTAATGGAGTTAACATGGCCACAAGTGGGACAGGGTGGATTCTTCTCAAATTTGGATGTGAGGCCAGGGATGGGGAATGAATCTCTGAGAGGAGTGGAAACCAAAGAGAGGCAGCTCAAGGCACATCGTACGTGTTGGCCCCTTGCCATGCACAGAGCGCGCACGGAACCCCAGTGCTCTGGTCCCGGGCATCCCACAGTTTGCAGTACTCCAACTGGGGGAGGACCTTGGACTTCTGAATCTATCCTTCATTTAGGATTTATTTTCTTAATTGAAAAAAAGGGGGCTATGAGAATGACTGCTTCACGGTTAGCTGTGAGCCTTCGCATATCATGAATTCAACGCAAAGCACAGAACAGGCTTTAAACAATTCGGTGGTTCAGAGGGGTCCAATGTCCAAACCCTAACAAGAACAACTTTAACATTCCCCATCTATGAAAAGCAAATGTTAAGTTTTAAGCAGCAGCTGCACATTAGAATCATGCGTAAGTGGCTTTTTCATTCATCTCTCCTGCACAGAACATATGCTCTGCATTCCAACTTCAAGTGCTTGTCTGATGCTGCACGAGTCAGTTAGCTCTTCAGTCCACTGTTGCATTCCAATTAGTGGTAAGTACTGGAAGCATGCAGTTTAGGCTAGCAATTAACGTATTCCCACAAATACAAGACAACTTACTCTGCGTCATCAGACACAGGAGTTCTCGGACCGTATCTATAAGACCAAATACAAAATTAGAGGATTGACAAGACAGAAGGTTAACGCTCTCACCAAGCTGGAAATAAAAACTAAGTGAAATGCAGGGACGCCAAACCTTTTTTTGCCGTTCGTACTGGAAGAGAAGTGTCATTATACAACTAGCAATATTCGTTAACTGCTGAAAGTGAAAGCAAAGTCTTGACATTTCTAAAGAATGCGAAACTTGCAGTAAAACCCAGAGGAGAAATGAAAAAAAAAATCTACACGTTACCCACAAAGAAAGAATCTGTTCAATATAAACACAAAAAGGCTTAGGTGCAACCCACAATGTTTAGAGAAGGCAGCTTAAAAAAAACCATTGTGTATTACGGTCATTCACAAATGGTTGAACTGTTCGGGCCTTTCTGTGCAGAGTGATGGGCTGTAATGAACACCCAACATAGAAGCACACGCTCACTGACCCTTTCCCTGATGTGTTAATGCATTTGCACAAATAACATCAAAGAGTGTTTCGGCAGTTTTCTGAAAGCAAACCAGAACTCCAACCAGAACCCCAATCAGTGTCTTCCGCATGCATTTGACAAAAACCACAATTCCTAGAAAACTGGCAGCCTTAATCCAAACCAGACACCAATGATCTTCCATAACTTGAAAAACCAAGTTTTTTCTCTTTAACAGTCTTTTATATCCTTCTGATTACTTAGATCTACAATGCTGTACTTTCTTTAATGTAGGCATTTTAAGTTTTAATGTATCTGATAAAACAAAGAAAAAAGGTCAAATTAGAAAAAAAACTAGAACATTACAAGGGCATATTTTAAGCACATTAAAAAAAACAAAACAAAACAAAACTTAGTTCCCACAGATGACTGTCTCCTCATCAAAGGGGAATTTTAAGAGAAGGTTCTTACCTGTGCCCTGAAAGTCTGTCCATTCACGCATTCTGATGGTGGACAAAGGACTATTTAAGCGAAGAAAAAAAATGTCTTGCTTTCAGTTCCCAAAAAATTAAATTTGGGGGTTTTTGGTAAAAGTTACCTGATCCCACGTTCAGTTTCATAACAACTTATGGAGAAGAGAGTAATTTCTGAAGAGCTGTTCCTATAATCTTAGCGTAAACACCCCAAATCACATGGGTGTGCACACAGACACCCTTGTTTCTTATGCCTTTATCATTCTACAGCAGTCTGCATTCATTAATAATTATTTCCATTCACAGTGAGGGCAACCACACCAGTGCAATACCCAAAATGAAATGGCCAAAAGCAAGAAAAGGAAAGTGCTTGTGGATGTTTTTCTTTTGAAAGTAAGGCCTGTTTTCTGTTTCTGTGGGAGACAGTTTCAGAAGGTGCTAAAGTTTAACTTAATACACTCAATTTTCTAAAACCACCACCGCATGGAGGCAGATGGATTCCTCCATATCAAGAAAGGGTACATGAACAGTGCTAATTCTGAAGCCTGGGTGCATGTTTCCCAGTTAATTAGTAGGACGACTGGAATAGACAGTCAAATATGGTGTTTTCTAAACTATCCGTGGAAGAGAGCAGAGAAGTTACTCCTCATGGATGGTTAATCTAGAAATGACCGCTGGGTGGTTGGTATGTGTTCCTGTGCCTCTATTTGAATACAGTAGTTAATGTTTAATTAAAGTAAAACACACATACAGAGAGTGCACATACCAGGCACAGACATCTCAATGAATTTTCACAAACCGCAGATGAGCGGGTGAGTGATTTGTGCTACATAAATGGACTCAGACAGTCCATTTTGAGTTTGGCTTCCTTTGTACATTTTGTTTACGAGGTTCAGCTATGATGTTGCTTGCGGGATATACTCGAATTTAAGCTGCTTCTACACAAAATACTTAAGAGCATTTCGTGGCCATCTCTGCCAACAAATGTCAATTAAACCGAAATATAAGCTCCATGTGTGTAGGGATTTTTCTTCCAGGGGTTCCCTGAACAGTGGCCAGACTAGGCCTTCTGGATGCTCGGAAAATTGAAAAGGACAGTGCAGTCTCTGAAGAAAACCTCCATTTATCCATTTATGACACACTTATGGATTTAAGGAATTTCCCCTCGGACTGATTTATTTGCTTTAAGAGGGCATCACTTTAAGCAGAATTGCCTTTGCTGTTAAGGAGAAGATAATTAGAGTTGGGCTTCAAACGATTTTCCCAGTTGTCCTACAGAAAATAGAAAAGTAAAGGTGAGTTTAAAAAAAAAATCACTAATAAAGAGTTTTTTTAATGGAAGTAGATGAATCAACAGACTATCAAGTACAAAAATGGCCAGACAAATCACACTTGGTATAAGCATCCTAACAAAAAAAAAAGCAATTAATACAGTTTAATTGTGAGGGTAGGGGTACTTAGAAAGATAAAAGGAATACTCGATTCACCTATTGATTGTGTTTATATAACTTTCAGCACTAATAAAGCACTTCAGGATTAATAATTAGCCATACTGTGAACTAGCATAAGCGTCATCTGAAGTCAGAGGAAAAATTGGGATTACTGCTCATTTAAGATTATCCTGCAACACTGAGTGTTTTACACAGAGTCATTACTCAATAAACCTTAGTTGAACAGAAGCACAAGTTCCCAAGGTGTGTGCTTGCTCAGTCGCACAATTATGTCATGGAATTCATCTGACTACTTCGCCCGACGCTCAAACCGGCCACACACCCCCGTTTGATTATAAAGAGGACTCTTTCCGAATCACAGATAGACAGACAGATGGAAGCGACAGGGAAGTCACCAGACCTCCGCAGCTTCCTCTGGTCACTTGTGCAGGCACCGCACTGGAGTGGGACAGCGGCTCCCTCTCACACAGAGCTGGGTTTGGATCTTAGATCTATAATTACCAGCCTTGTTGGACAAGGGCCTCAGTTTCTCATGGTAGGTTACTGATGAAACTTCCCACTCTCGAAGGCTGTGTGAGGAGGGAGGAAACGGGAAACCTGGAATGCATCTAGTAGGCAGCCTACGGGCCTCACTTCCTTCTTGCCTTTCATGCTAACTGCTTTCCGGGAGCCCACAGACTCAGGGGGCCCAGCACCCTGTCAGGGCACCTGGGGAGTAAGTGAGAGCACGGTGGGGGTGGTGGTGGCAGGGCACACCAGTCAGCTCCTGGGTCACTAACCTGCCCTCACCAGCTGGGATCCGGTGCAATCCACTCACATAACGTCTCCCTACCTCAGGTTTCCCATTTGTGAACTGGAGCCAACAGTTACTCAACCTACCTGTGAATTCCCAGGAGAAGGTGCGCTTGAGGGAGCAGAGGCACTTTGAAAGGGCCGTGGTCATAAGTAGAGCACAGATATCATCCCTGCTCCCCGAGACCAGTGTTACCACGAGGCTCTGAATAGTCATATTATGATTCAGAAGAATGTAAAACATAGATTAAATCCAGGTGGTAAGGATGGCTACAATAGTAATTTTTAAATTAGGGGATTACTGAAGATTCTCTCCGCTCCCCACTCCACCCTCTGTCCCACTGCCATCAACAAGGTCCTTTGTGAAGCAGAATTCCATCACTTCCTGGTTTATGGTGGCGCTTCAATTATGCAGAAACACTCCTCACTCCTCTGCCGTACATTAACCAGGCAGCCCACACTTTCAACAAAAGTCTCTCACTAAACAGCAACAGAAACTTCAGTGTAGAGGACCTTAACCCAGACCACAAACCCCAGGATTTTATTATCTCCCTATTTTCATTTTAAATCAAGTCAGGGCACAGAACGGAAATCCCACGTCTAGAAAGCACTGTTTGCTAATATTAAAATTAACTTAAATAACAAATTTTATAAGTGGTATATATCTTCTTTGGATCTGGAGACCCTCCTGGAATCAGAATGAAATCAAGTAGGTCAGAAAGAAGGTCAACTCCTTTACCCAAAGGCGCCTATGTGAGATAGGAAAAATAAAAGAGTTTCTCCCACTTAGGCTGCTCACAAGATGAGAGTCAGAAAAAACGGTTAACAGGACGATTCACAACTAACTATTCTTTCCACACCTGTTTACATGCAAAAAAAAAAAAACAAAACCAAAACTCTGCAGACTGGGCCAATTTTAATCATTTCATTTCCGCTGGCAAAAGCGGGTAAGTGGCACTGATGAATGAGAAAGCATTAATAACATAGTCAAAGCATGGGTCAAGGCTCAACTCAAGACTGGGGAAACAAAGTCACAATGGCTCAGGATAATCTCCTGACCTCTTATCTTTTGTTGGTGGACCCTTGGCAGATTCCTCCACATTGTGTTGCTTTGCAAATGGAACCGGAAGGAACTGGTTTGGGTTGGATCTAATGTATTTAAGAGACATCCCAGTTCTCCTGGCCATTATGTCATCTTTGTGTGAATCATACAACTTTCTTTGGCCCCTCAGTCCACTGCCACACCAGGCAGGAGCTGTCATCTTCTCTGACTTCTCTTCTCTCTCTGAAGCCTCCCATTCAGAGGCCAGAGGACATGAACTAGGGCACGTTCAGCCCAGCCAGTCAAAGGGCACTTATTACTCAAGATATTTTCAGTAGCATCACGCACTTGGCATTAACTCAAGATTAAGAAGAAGCCATGTTCATGGAGGCAGCAGCACACATAGCAACTGAGTATTAATACCATGGACTTCCATCATGCGGCTGATACTTACATGGCAATGGATTTCCCTTTCTGGTTTTCATGATTCCTGAGAATGAATCTGGCCAGCACCCAACCACGTGCAAAGGCTAAAATCTCTACCCAGGCGGGCACTGAAAGCAGAACTCTGGCCCTGGGATGGGCGCATTCCTGTGAGTGACTGCACTCCACGCCACAGTAGTCAAGTGCACACTGTGGCTTTATTAAGCTCGTTTCGGGGGGACATAGCAGCCACGCACAGCAGAGGCAGCACACCCTGGAATGCAGGCAAGGTGCTCACAGTGGCTGGCTGCTCTCCTCAGATCTTTCAGCCTTGGGCGCCATCTCAGAATCTCTTTGAGCAACTCCTCCGTTCTCCTGTGTGCCATCCTGTGGCAGCTGTTTGCGTGTAACTAAAGCCAGACAGGACAGCTTTACTACTAGGAAAGATTTCACACCAGAGGCCCTGGCCCCACCTGTCACCCTTCTCCTCCTCACCTTCCTCTGTCCTCCTTGGGCACTCGCCCAAACGGCAGCTATGCTCCTCCTGGGACCCCGGCACCAGAGCAAGCTGCGAGACCCTTTTGCAACTGTCATCTACACCAGAAGTCACTATTCTGTTGATAATCAAGTGGCATTGGTGGCAAGAGAGAAGACGAAAAAGAGTTATGCAAAGAGACAATGAAAGTGGTTGAGAATGAAAGGTTATGAGACAGAGTTCGGGTGCTCTCATTCCATGAGCTGGTTAGTAAGGATGACAGACTCAGACTATGTAATAGAATGTGGACCCTGGCAAGAGCCTGAGAAAGTCAAAGAAGGCTGGCATGACTCTGTCCCCAGGGGGCTGAGTGATGACCCCTTAAGTAGTCAAGGACTCACGGGTGCATTTCTTACTCCCAATTCTGCACCTTTGGCCCCCTCAGCCACTGAAACCCCAACAGTGCATTTCTGGGGTCTTAGGATTATTCATATCCACAGCCTCCTCTATGGTGTCATCACAGCATGGAACCAAAGAAACCCCTCCGTACGTCATGGACCATCCACCGTTTGCTTTGGATATTAAGGGCAAAGCCTGGAGGAAAATGTCCTGAGCATTTTCTCCTGCCCTGGAGGGCTTTACGTGGCCCCCATCATGAGGGTGGAGTGGAGGTTCCCGGGAGAATCCAGAATTTTATAAATGTCCTATCCCTGCTTAGTGGAGGAAAGATCAGCTCACAGAACTGAATCACCGAAAGAGGGCTTGGGAACTCAAAGCTGGAAGACCTCCAGGGAGGATGAGGACTGGTGACGGGCTTACAAGGCCTTCTCCCAGGTGATCCCTCACAAATTCGGATTGTGATTCAGCCAAGGAAACTCCTGACTCATAGAAACCGTCCAGAGAAGAGTCTTTTTCCACTCAAGATTTGTTATATAATTTTAAGAAGTGGAGAGAGAGGGAGGTGCTTATTTTTGGGTGTGTGTCTACTTAGATGTTCAAAATTTGAACTTACGATACAAATAACTATTTCTTCCTCCCTTTGTGGGATAAGAAAGAGGAATGGCGTAGATAAGCCTGATTTTTATCAATATATGTTTAGAAGAAACACAGAGGGTATCATTAAAACATTCCATTTCATTTGTTTAATATTTCCAATGAATAAAATAGTGCTTAATGCAGCCGAGGGGAAAAGGGTCATTTGCCAAAATTATTGGCATTCCCGGGCAGCGATTCTGGTGACAATAGAATCAGAATGGATGGATGTCATTTAACTTCACACGTTTCCCCCCAGGGGAAGCTGCTAACATTACTTCTCTGCTAACCAGCAAAGAGCCTGTTAAAACGAGGTCATCTCTGGTGGTTTCTTTAATGTGCTTCAGCAGACTCTTTAAAAGTGGCAGTGATTCCTGCACAGATCTAGCACACACACGGAGCGGCGAAGAATACCTGTAGCCATTCTGTGGGTTAAGCGTTTGGTCTTCCAAGCGGGACGTGGCTGCCGAGGCGGGGGACACAGAGTACGTCTGCGTCTTCCTGCTGTGACCGACGGCTTCCTCTCCGTCCTGCCTAGGCCCGGCCTTGCCAATGCTGAGCCGCTTCCAGGTCTGCTGATCCATCTCTGTCACTGGGCCAAAGTGCACAAACTTTTGCCTAGGGCTGGAAGCTTTCTTATAGGCCCCTGCCTTGCGGCTGGCAAAGTCATCACGGATGGCAGTTTCTGCTTTAATTTCTGGTAGAGGCTCAGGGACACACATGTGTTCAACATCTCCATCCCTAGTCAGAACCAGAAATAAGTTCCAAAGGTTTCTAAGGTGAGTACAAATCCATGAAGGGTTTTTAAAAAATACTAGATGGATGAAAAATACTGTGATGGCTAAAGCAGAAGTGCTTTTCCATTAATCAATCAAATGAAGAAATGATCATTGTCCTGCTTGTTCTTATAAATAGTACTTTAAGCTTCCATAGCTTTCAAAATATCACTTCCAATGTCACAAATGATGGCATGAGAAAAATCTGAGGTACAATGAAATCATTAAAATTATCTAAAAATCAATTTAAATTCCTTATAGTGAACAAGACTATCAAAATAAGCATTTACAATAAGTTGATTGAATTAAAGAGGGTGTTTTCCGTCCATGTGGCTTGTAACTTTCAGTATTAATAAGTTTCAATTCATGAAGAATATGCTCTGTGTTTTGAGAGGCATTTTTTTCTGGCCACGAAAATAAAAATGCTGGAAGGATAAGCATTTGATTCCTTCAAAGTTAAAGGATACCACTGTGAGGGGGAAACCAGGGGAAGACACACCTTGTCTTTCCTGACACTTTCAGTCTCTCCCACGTCTCCAGGTCGGCTTCTGTTATATTGGAGACTGTGACAAAGCTCGGAACCTCGCGGCGAGGGCCAGGCCTGCCCTGAATTCTCCGCTGCGCCAGGTCATCCTTGTAAAGATCGGGCATCTTCCTGAGTCCCTCCTCCGCAGGCTCACTCTCCTGAGCCCGTGTAATACAGGTCACCCTTGACTTCACCTCTTCTGCTTGGCCCTGCTTTCTGTCAATTTGATCCAGGCCCCACATCATCGGAAAAATCAGGTTCCAGGAAAGGGAGCAGATAAACAGAATGTCAAGCATGGAAATTCAGAGGCTGAGTTCAGAATGAAATGATGGAAGCACCTTTCCCTTTCTCAAAAATATGGAATCAATTGCAGCCTTGATTACTTTCGTCTACGCTACCCTTTTGACACTGCAATGAGATGGAGTTTTTCCACCAGATGACGGTCTCTAGTTAGTTTAGGAAGAGAAGCCAGGGCTCGCTGAAAGACTATTAAGAATGGTAATGAGATTTCGGTTTGACAGTAATGATGCCCAGTTCCCACACTATTCAAGTTACTATAATGAATTCAAGTTTTCTGATTGAATCCCTGAGCCCTCTTGGAATGTCTTTTATTGCAGCAGTAAAATGTTAGTAACGAGCTTTGCATGATCCAAATTCTAGGATTAGTTTGGAGATAGCTGGAACATTGTTCACATATTAAACATCTCAACCATAAACCCTCCTACTGCCAGAAAGTACGGTTAGGTCAGTTCTGAATAGAAAATTTCCATGTTCAAGGTCAGTCTCTGCCTCCTGATAGCATTAATTAGTTTTGGCTAATATAAACTTGAAGAACAAATGGAGAGGGTAACCTCGCTTTACCTGGCTCCACACTGTCAATACCCCTTTGTTCTTGTATTGGTAATGGTTCACCTTTATTACAGCCAGAACTGGTATTTTCAATTGTTCTCCTGAGAAGTGAATGTTAGATGGCTAATGGTGACAATATAGTGATTTAAACTAAAGCTGTGGCATCTATGTGCATAAATATTCTACCACATTAAAAACCAATTTCTAACTAAGTATGTTTCTTGAGATAGAAAGTCTCAAAAATATACATAAATAGGGCTATTCATTTTTTTTTTCAAAATCTATCTTCCAAACGAGAAAACAAAGAGGTATTCTTTTGTTACATGGATGTCTCGGTGTATTTACAGAGCCTATGCCAATAGGAAGGCTACAGAATTTTCTATTTACTTTCAGTTTGGGGAAAGAGATCACAGAAGGGCACTGCAAAGAGCCACTAGGGAGCCTTCTTTTTTTTCATCAGTTCTTTGAAGCTCTCCAGAGAGGTCATGGACTGTCCCAGACCCAGAGCTAAGTCCCCAAATACAGAGTCAGGTGACAACAGACAAATGGGGCTGGAAATACTAGGAATTAAAATTGCATGTGGGAGAAAGGAAAAAAGGGAGGTACAACAGCTACTCCTTTTCCTAACTCAAGTTGCTGATCCTCATCAATACGCCTTGACACTAGTCCGTTATCCAGAAGCCTTTTTTTCACTTGCAACAAGTGATCTCTCCCACAAGGCCCCCTGAGAATGGTTTGACAAGGCATGCCAGCAAGATCTGCAAAGGCCGAGAGCCTCCTGAAGCTACAATATGTCCTATAAAAATGTGCCAGGTCTTCTGTGCCCTAATCCCATGCTCTATGTACAGAGACCTTTCATGTGTTTTGTATCTGGTACCTCCCAAATAAAAATATAAAAAACAATAAAAAAAAACTGCTCTCAATGATTCTGCCCAAAGAACCACTTGAATTGTGTGAAACACAGCTGAGATAGTCATATTCTTAGCTCAACAGACATACGAACCTCTTAAGTGACAGGCCACAATATGGCAATTAAATAGTAAAGATGTGAACTCTAACTGATTTTGACATAAGGAAAAATACAAGCATGATGGACTCTGCATGCTGACATTTAGCATGCTGACGGCTTCAATGACATCATATCCCTCTTAGGATAAAAATCAGTGGCCAAATCACATTTCATTAAATTTTCCTTTCCCTAATTAAGAGGATGGGAGAAATTTGGGGGAAGGAAACTCACTTAAAAAATAATTTCCATGACAGAACAAACAGAAGTGTGTTGTATATTAGAGAAGTTTTTTTGGTAAGAGATATCCATCATCAGATGTTGAGGTGATCTTGCTGGGGTTAGGGAAGAAACAACAAGCCTCACTTTTTCCCTTTCCAATTTTTGAAAGGGGCCAGTAAGAGGGAAGAGCTCATAGCAAAGGAATAACTATGGTTTTTGCCTGCTGTGGATGGAATGGAGCAGCCTTGAGAGGTTCCTGTTCCCTGATCAGCAATAGTATGTGTCTATTTATGCCAATAATGCCAGTGTGTGACACCAGTCCCCATATGTGGTGATGCGCCAGACACAGCACTGACGCTCCATATTTAATTGGTGAATTCAGCCCTGTTTTAGACATGGCCATTCTACTCCGTGCCATCTGCACGTAGGGGAGATTGGATATCTGGAGTTCCACTTCAAAATAAACCACCATTACCAATTACGTAATTAGGGCAGGAAAGAGAGGAATGGGGTGGGGGGGGCCTCTGATATAAATCACCTTTGCCTAATTACATTCTCTCTTTCATACACACACACACAGAGTGCACACCTTTTACGTTCTAGACTTTTCTTTCCTGAGATTCCCTTTGAGGGTTGTTTACTGCCATCTGATTTCTCTGCCTCTCTTTTCAGGTAAGGCCCATAGAGGAGTTGATTCAGTGGCACCATTGGCTTGGGCTGGTTCATCCTTGCTCTCCGGGCAGCAAAGTCATCTTTCTCAAGATCAGGCAGTCGACCTGAAGCTTCATCTTCTGAGTCGGAGTCTTTGCCATGTTGGTTTTCTTTACGAAGGATAATATCTCGAACAGCTTCTTTCTCACCACTTAACAGCTTTTGACTGATAGAGCAAAATTAAATGGAACTCCACAGGTGATCAGACCAAAATCGTTCTTAAATCCCCATCTCCAGGCAGGCAACTGTCTTGTTAGTGAAAGGTCTTCTCAATATCGTTAGTCCAGATGACATCTGTCTACTACTTTAGTCCAGAGTTGCAGCATAGTTAGGGTGGGATTCAAAACTTTGAATTTAGCCAGCTACTAACAATACTCAAAATTCATTTATCCAACAGGACCTCATCAGCGTCAGAAAGGCAGGATCCTAAATGGCTCTGAAAGTGACAATCTGAATTCTTTCTTTTCATGAGATGGGGAAAAGTAAGAAGCATTTTGTTGTTATTTTTTCTTTAGCACATGAGTCATGCACCCCAGTAGGTACTCAATTTGTTTTTGAGTGATCAGGGCAAAATTCCAAGCCACTAGGAAACTGATCTGGGGGAATGCTAATGAATGCGGCAATGTGGCAGCACACCTAGAATGTGTACCAGACAGCAAGGTGTAAGGACGGTCTTTCTGCGCTGAGCTGACCTGAAACATCTGGAATAGTTTATGACCATTTATAGGATGAACCCAAGGCACAAAAGCTTACCTTGCCCTGCACCCTCCCATCAGCAACCCTTTCTCCATCTTCTATCCCAATGACTCTCCACCTCTCAGCTATTCTTTGTCATATGCTAGATGTTAAGTAAATGGTGTTAAGACATTTTGCCAAAATGTTTGCTTAGGGCTCTTTCCATTTTCAAAGAAATCTTGAAGGTCCTAAACTTTAAATTCTTAGAGAAATGTAGTTTAAAGTTGGAATATCAGGACTTTTTATGCTTTGTTTTGTTTTTCGTTTCTACTGGGAGTGGGTGGGGTAGAATACAGTTGATGGCGTCTATCTGCCATTCAAACGAACTCTTCGTCCTTACTAGTAAGATCAGCCTTACTTCTAAGTCATAATAAAATGATGAAACTTGTTTTAAAAATTATTTATTATCTTCTCAGTTCATAAAGATGATAAGTAAATAAAACATCTTGACTTCTAAAGAAAGCTCACCTACTTTGTATCTGATTTCTGACAGAGGATTAGGAGTAAATTCTTAAGGGACAAGTCATTTCAGAAATGAAGATGGGAGGAATTAGATGGGCTAAGAGTAAGATGAGCAAGGAAATGCCATCTACTCTGGTTGACCAGGTGGCCTGCTGTCTGCTGCTCTGGCCTGTACTGCTGCAGAGGAGGCCATCATATTGTGATGATGGCAGGTCTTCACTCCCTCTGACTTCTGGAAAATCAAACCATCATAAGTCATGTCCAGAAAACTCCTTCTCCCTGCTGCCCACTGTTTTCAATAAAATTTTAAAATATGGAATTTGGAGGTAGGTGAAATCCTGCCCTTTGAGTTACACACCTAGCTCTTGGTCTCCTGCCTGGCCACTCCTGAACCATGCTCACTCTCCTCCCGGCCTCCTTAGCCAGCAAGTCTGGCAAGAATCAACTGGTGTTGGTTGGCTGTGGCCATAAAGAATGGTCAGTAAGAAATGACTGGCCATTGAATTAATCTCTTTGAATATGCATTATTTAAAAAGCACATTGATGATAACAAAGAAGGTGGCTGACTATTATTGAGCTACACCATGTGCCAGAATTCCTTCTAGTGTTAATTCAAATCCTAATACTAGCCTTGCAATGCCAGTGTTATTAGCATGATCATTTCATAGAGTGGAAACTGAGATTAGGTTAAGAAATTTGCCAAAGGTCAAAGTGTCCCTGCTTAAGTTAAAATTCAAACCTAGGCAGACTGGCTCCAGAGGTCCTGTTCATAATACTGTACTATTACACAAAGGGCATGGCCGGGAACAGTTTTGAAAGCAGAACGTCATACAAAAAATAAGGCCTTATCATTACCATGGAAGAAGGAGAAAGAGAAGTATTTTGGTTATTAAATAAAGGGCTCCTGTGAGTTGTGCTTAGAATGGAGTTGTGATTTGCATTGCTGGTTACAGACAGCAGTGTTCAGCCAGGATTAAGGACAGTGGAATGCTAACTAATCATACCTTACAATGCTTGCACAGCACTTTACAGTTTGCAAAGCCCTTTCAAACTCATTATCTCATCTCAGCTGATCTGACTCCTATTCCAGTAAGGGAACAGACCCTGAGTTCAGAGCTCTCAAGTCCAAAAACAACACTCCTTCCATTTTTGACAAAGGGTCCTGGGTTTCAGTCTCTCCCAATTCAGGCAGAATTCTTTGGAATAAAACATATGCATTTATGCAAATGGCCAGGCCAATTTGTGATGCCAATTTGAGCAGGGAGAATCTAGTGCCTTATGCATCCTGTGAGTCCAGCCAGGCTACAAAATCCCTGGGGTGTTTCTTTTCAGGCTAAATGCCCAGTGTGGCAGGATTCATTTCAAGAGATCTCAATTTAGATATGTGGACTTAAAAAAAGGAAGTGAAGAAAGCTTTGCATATCATTGGCCACTTAAAGCCACTTCCCTGCCTACTTGAAAAAACAATCATAATGACTGATTTTCTGCTAATTGCTTGAATCCTGAAAATTCAGAGCTTCAAGGCAGACTCAGAGAGAGAAAAAATATAATGCAATAAATTCTGGGCTGGCACTGTTGGCCATGAAGTGATACATAATGTGTGTAAGGCAGATGTGTAGGATTGTGTTTACAGGTGTCTAGTTAGCAAAATATTTAAATGGCTTTAAAAAATTTTTAGATTTATTTTAAAATTTTTTGAGGGGGAGGTAATTAGGTTTTTATGTATTTATTTTTAATGGAGGTACTGGGGATTGAACCCAGGACCTTGTGCATGCTAGGCACATACAGTACCACTAAGCCATACCTTGCCCCCTTACATGACTTTTATAATGTGCTTTCCTTTTTCTCTTGAATGACCTTAAAGGCAGTCTACTGTGAAGCTTCAATATATTCTACTTTGCTTTTCAATAATTACAACTCTCTGAACAGCTAGTATATTTCAGAAATACTTTCATGACAACCCTGCAAGATCAGAATTATGATGCCCATTTTGCAGACAGGATGTTGAGGTTTCTGCTTCCAGTCATCTGAACTTAGGTAAAGTAAGTGACTTTAAGTGACCGACTCTGGCTTTCTGGCTTGATATTCATGGGGAGGTTTGGCACTTTTCATTTTTTCTGAGTCATTCATATATGAGTTATCTTGGGAAGAAAGGGTTGCTCAGTGGGCCCAGCTCAGTGCTTTGCTTAGAAGGAATACAGTCCAATGTGAAACAAGAAATGCCAAGCCCTGCCTCCAACCTGGCAACGCCGTCCCAAAACAAGTAAGGCTATCTTTGTAGGAGAGACTGTGGGCTCTAGACAGGTGAGGGGAAAGAAAAGCCCTTGTCTCAAAGTTTCTAAGGCTTATATATTTCAAAGTGAATGAGATAATGATTTAAACTAAGGAAGAGCTGGCATTTTCTTTCACCTCCTTTTAACTTGGCAACACACAAACAACTAGCTCAGACTGGCAGTCAATTTGCTCTAGTGAAAGAAACTGGGCTCTCCAGAAAAGCCTGTTAGGTCTCCTGGGAGTATCACGGGCATCACCAGAAACCTCCCTGTTCGCCCAGGGTCCAAACAGGGCGGCTCCATTCAGAGTCACAGAGGTTCATGCAAGTTATGTGTCTGCCGGGTCCCTGATCCCCAAGAATCTGTGCGGCAACAATCAGCGACCCAGGCATCTGGTAAAGGCGGGGTGCAGAGGAATACATGTCTGGCACTTAGCTGCATCTGCTCTTCCTCTAAAGGTTTCTAAAATGTCTATTGTTCCTTGGAGGGTTTTTTTTTTCCCCTCTGTAATTAATTACTATGTGGTTGAGAAGATCCACAGACTCGCAGAAAAGACTGAGTGCTGAAACATATGAAAACAATTAGAAAAGAAGTCCAATCACATGAAACCTATAATTCAGTTAAAAAAAAAAAGTTTACTTTTCCAATGGGAAACACCAAGTCAGGGAACTCAAATCTCCATGGCATTTTAATTCAGGGGAAGTGAATCTTGGTTCTTATTTTATCCTCTTAAACACAGAAATCTTGGCTTCTTTGGCAGAGTCTCATACTGGGAGGAAGGGAGTGTAATTAGGCTAACTTAAATCATAAACTAAAGTAGAAGAAAAAGTACTTTATATACTTTTGACTTCAATGGCAACTTTAATAAATATTAACTCCACATATTTATTAAGAAGACCTACTTTCTGTCCCTTGGTGCTAAGATACGCCCTAATATATTCTTGGACAAGAAGCTTGGGACTTCTAGGCTCCTAAACTCGTGTGAAATTGGAATAACATGCATTTTTGCTCCTTTTTATATATTGTATTAAAAATAATTCAAGGAGGTGTTTGAGAATACTTGGGACACATCGACAACCAAAAGCCAGCCTGCAAACGTGAAGCCTTATTCTTCGTCTATATGCCGGCCTTCCTCGCCTAGGGCTCATACTCTCACCATCTCTGCAAACACAGACTTTCTCAGCTAAGAAATGGGCCCCAGGAAATATCTGGGGCCCCTTGTTGGGTTCCAAGATGTGGTGGCCAGAATTCATCTGGATGGCAAAGATAGGAGACTGAAGTTAAAATGCTTTAAGAGACATCAGCACATTTAAATGTTTTATATTATTTTCCAGACATCAAGAATCTTTTTCTTCTTCATGATATGCATTTCATTCCAGTTAAGCTACTTTCTGCCACATGAAAAGCAGGATCCCAAATGTGGATAAACTTAGAATGACTCTCAACTCTCTTGTGGGCTGCAAAAAGTAAGTGACAAAGACACAGACAAGCCAGGCTAGTACCATGGTATGTATAAAACTTTTATGAGAGAGCAGCAGCTGAGAAGTCTGTCCAACCAAGGAATTCTGGGTGTTCGGAGCAGCTGTGTTGTGTTGCTATTGGGGATGTTCTGGGGGAACATGCATGATTTTCCTGAATGCCGTTTTCAACGTTAAGTCAGTAGCTCTAAGATGTGACACTAACTGACATTAGCAGACATGAACTGACCTGCAAATCTCTGCTTAATAGAGCTAACGTGGACAAAATATGTAAAAATCAAGCCAAATAAGAGGAACAAGGACAGGAGTAAAAATTACCACACAAATATGCTATTCGTCAATTAGAACTACATATGTCAATTAACCATGATTCTAGGTTTTTACACAGACGGGGAGTTGCCATAAAAGATTGCACAGTTTTATTAGAAAATAAATCCCCCTGTTACTGAAGAGGCACAGTACACTCATGGAAACCCCAGTCTTTATCAGTCTCTTCTCTCTTCCTGTCTTTACGTCACCATGATTCCTGGGTGTGCTGAATACTCTTAAAGTATCTCCCCACTTGTCTCCCCTTGCTCTTTTGGATACTCTAAAAGATGGTACAGAGGTTCCTCAAAAAGTTAAAAATAGAGCTACTGTGTGATCTAGCAATCCCACTTCTGGGTATATATCCGAAAGAGTGGAAACCAGGGTCCCAGAGAGATCTTAGCACTCCCGTTTTATTGTATTGTTATTCATAATAGCCAAGATGTGGAAACAACCTCAGTGTCTGTCAAGGGATGAGTGGATAAGGGTAAGGTGGCATATACATAGAGTGGAATATTATTCATCCTTAAAAAGAAGTAAAGTCTGTAAGATGTGACAACACGGATGAACCTTGAGGACATTAATGTAAGTGAAATAAGCCAGTCACAGCAAGAAAAATGCTGCAAGATTCCACTTACATGAAGTAGCTAAAACACTCAAATACAGAGAATCAAAGAGTGGAATGGTGGCTGCCAGGGGCCGAGGGAGGCATAAAGTTTCAGGTAAGCAGGAGGAATAAACGCTAAAGATTCGGTGTACAACGCTGTATCTGTAATACTATACTGTACAGTTAGAGGCTTGTTCAGAGTATAGCTCTCAGGCCAGGTGTTCTTACCATAATATTTTTTTTTAATGAAAAAGTAACTGGCAAAGGATATGAGGGAATTTGTAGAAGAAGAAACCTGAGTAGCCATTACATATGACATGATACACAAAAGTGTTAGTAATTATGGAAAAATCAATTTCTTAAAATGGGATTTTAAAAATCAAGGGGATTGGCGATTTTTGAAAATAACAAGAAAACAAGAAAAAATACATGATACAGATGATGGCATCGTGGGTCAGTTTTAGTTAAAGACGTCACGGATGTGATAAAAATGAAGGTGTGTGTATCAAGGATATTAAGATTAAAGTTTTTTTGTAAATTCATACATTTGTCTATATCACTTATCACTTGCTTCCACTGTGCCTTAACTTTGAAAATAGAAGCAGGAAAAGTCTGAAGAAGTTTGATAAGAGAATATACTTCACTTTTGTATTCCTTCCATCTTTGCTCTCTGATACAATAGATGCTTCAATGACGTAGAAAAAGCAAATGTCTGACAAGGTCTCTGAACCCAAATTGAAAGAATATTTGGATTATTTCTGTTTTTAAGATTCTATGACATTACCCTTCATTATTTCAGAAACTCAGAGTGAGTTTACAACACAAGCACAATTTTATGTTTGAGCTTTCTGGAAGCACATACATGTTTAAGACCAACATGCCTATCTGTGGGATGCCACAGACAGGAAGAAGTATATCCTTGGGTCTTTTTTCTTCAATCAATACAAAACTACTCAGAGATTAAATCCATATAAGTCAGTGCTGGAACTTTCAGTGAAGACCGAGACCACAGCAATAACCACACAGGGAGTTGTACAGAGAAACGGAAGGCCTTCCGTCAGATGAGTGGGAGGCAGCTGTGGGGCTGTGGTCAGAACATCTGCATCTGGCCACCAGGTCAGCGGTAACCAGCTCTGAGACTGCCAAGTAACTTACTTTCACTAGTCCTCAGTTCCCTGTGCTTGAAAATGGGTATGTCACCCACATTTCAGGATTAAATGGAACAGAAAGGGGTACAGGAATTTCAGTTGTCAAACTGTTATAAATTCCAGTTTGCCAAATAAATTTTGGTCTCACTTTTATTTGTTAGGATCTTTGTGGTTATTATGTGAGAAAAAATAATCAGCTTCCCAAAACACTACACAGAACTGCAGAACTACAGTTCTCTGTGACTTTGATTGCTGAAGGTCTCCATCTCACATGTAATATGAGGCCACCAGGACTGTATACCAGTGCCTTTGTTACAATTAAGAGAAGTAATTACTCCATTCTTCGTTTCTGAATCAACATGCTTTAGAAAACGAGTCAAATAAACCTAACCTTACTTACTAGTCCCTTGGGACAGAGAAAGTAAGTGGATTTTTTTAAGTCAGCCACTCTTTCTAAAGAGAGTGCTCCCCATTCCAAAGGAACTCTTTTCAAGTGATGTGTAAAGTAAGATAAGAGCCATTTAGGAGTAGTGTGAAAATTAACAAGCCACAAACAATTGAAAAATAAGATGTTATTGCTAGGTAAATCCTGCAGCCCGCAAATGACCGACCACACAAACTGACTAGGACAAAGTCTACTCGAGCAGCACGAAGCTCACTCATCATCTCCATTCACAATAACCAAATACTCAACGGAGACAGGCCCGAAGGCAAAGACTATTAGCTCTTCCTCTTTGCTCCAAGTAGGAAATAATGATGCAACGGGTAAAGCAGGAAGTGGGAAAACAAGATGGAAACTCCATCACATCAGACAGATTCCAAACCCCCAGGCATGCACGAAGCCAGCCAGGCCAGCCCTTGGCCTGCAGAGCTAACCTGGCAAAGCGCTGTGCTGCTGGCATGACCTTGATTCCAGCTTGCTCTAGCCTTCTGCGCTTTTGGATTTCAGCAGCATCTTTTTCTTCAGACTTGGGAGCTGGTGCTGCCACAGCACCCTCGGGAGGAGGCTGCTCCTTACCACTGCCATTGGGAGATTCTGACCCACCTTCAGGAGGCTTCCCACCAGGGTCCATCTGGCCGACAGGGTCCTCTTCACAAGGAGACCCCACTTCACTTGCCTCTTCCTCTATTGTTTCAGGATAGCTAGTGAGTTGGACAACATAAGTGACCAAACTAACAGACTGGGCTGGGGAGCAGATCACATGTCATCTCCTGCTCATCCTGATATTACTTCCACTTAAAAAAAAAGGGGGTCATAGAATGCAATACGGTCCTGGTGACAGGAAGAAAATGAAATGCAGCCGTGTGTTGATTAAAACAAGGCATCATTATCTCGACACTGACTAAGAGCTCTGCCGGAAAGGTAGGATCCATGTTTTGTTCAAGAATTGTAACTTTTAATAAAATGTTTACTCCATGGAAAACCATAGATATACAGGTGGACTCCAAGGAATAACCATACAATGATCAGGGTGGTTTTGCTAACAGGATTAGAGCAGACTCTAAGTTTCTTTTATTGGACTATAAGTTTCTTGAAGGCAGGGACTATCTTATTTACCTTTGGGTCCCCAAAGCCTAAAAGCACCCAGCACATAGTAGATGATCAATAAATACATACTTGATGAATAAATATGAAAACATAATCAGAGATTAGAGAGGAATTCTGCTTGTTTCTCTGAAGAGTTGAGAAGTCCAATATGTCTTCCATTTTATTCTGACTGTTTTGACATGTGACTCTTAAGCATGTTCACGCATCCATTACACAATGCTTGAGCTTAAATCTTGATAAGCTTGCATCTAGATGAAAAGGTCTTACTGCATCTAATCTAACACGAGTGGGAGTCCAATAGTCTCCCGAGAAGGACGTGGATGACAGATCTGTTCTCAGTGTCCTGTCAATAGAGCTGGTTTCAAAAATCTGCTCGTTAAACAAGTATTTGTTGAATACCTACTGTGTGCCAGGCACTGTTCTCGGTGCCTTCACGAAGCTTACATCCTATCATGACAATCTCTCTCCGAAGATCCATCCTGCCCATCTCCATCTGTAACCTCACACCGAAGTTCTAAATGGCTATTTGAGCTCATTCGTGCTCCTGTAGCACCAGCCAGGATGGCAGCCGCGCAGCCCAGGCCTTACCTGAAGGGCCTCTCCCCTCCCAGGGGGGAGGTGGCCGTGCTCCAGCTCTTCCGATATTCCTCTCGCTCTGCTTTCTTCTTCCTCAGGGGTGCGGGGACGTAGGCCGTCTGGTTGCTTTTGTTGGGGAGGTACTGGTTGAAAGGCACTGCGGACTTCGGCTCACCGTGGGAAGTCCGCCTCGCAGACATGTCATCCTTCTTCACATCTGGCAGCTTCCGATGTGGCAAGTCAGGTTCAGAGTCGCTTCCTCTCCCTGGGAAGAGAGAGGACGGGTGCTGAAAAAGTGTGCTGGGCTAGCCATCAAGTTCCCGATGGCAAGTCTGCAGTGTTGGGGATGTGGTTAAATCCGTGGGTTCCGGGGATTATTGCCTTAAATTATTCACTTAACAAATCTAAAGTATCAGGCTAAATTAGTCTATTCTGGGAAAAACTCTCAATTCTAATCAGGAAAAAAAAAAGTCAAATTAAAAAAAAAAAAAGTAAGCCTGGTTGTAGCCAAGAGTTACAATTAGCAACACATCTGCAATAGAACTATACACCCCATTCGGATCCTGCAACTCTCAAAAGGAAGAACGTGCATCTACCAGTGGAGTGGTTTACTCGGCACCTGTTGCTGCATGTCTTACACCGTGCTAGATAGTCTGACAAATAAGAATTATAAAGGATTTGTAATCCTTTGTCTTTGAGATACTTTTAACAGACTCATGAAACACCTGGAGAATATTAGTTATAATCAAGAAGCACAGACATAGAAGAACTACAGGAATTTAGAAAAATGATCAATACGGATTACACCAAGGGCTTGCCTTCCAGGGAGTGGCTTCACTTATAATAAATGCATATTCGGGGGAGGCTATAGCTCAGTATTAGAGGCTGTGCTTAGCATGCACGAGGTACTGGGTTCAACCTCCAGTGCCCCCGTTGAAAAACAAACAAATAAATAAACCTAATTACGCCCCCCACAAAAAACTTAATTAAAAATAAATAAATAAACGCATATTCCTCCACATCGGAGCCCTTCCTGGTAGTCAGAGCTGGAGGCAATCTTTTTTGCCTGTGAACACTAAGGCCCGATGATCTAGTTTTCCTTTCTGGTGCATTATGCTTTCTACCTTGTACTTTGAGAACAGGGGCTTTATATCTTCCACCGTACTTATCACAGGGTCTCTGCCCACAGTGGGCATCCTCAAAAGAGCTGATGAATCACTGAATTCGTTTGGCTTACAGAGTATTTTAGACAATGCAAAGGAATTCAGTGTTGCCAACATCAGTCTTTTGTTGGGCAATAGCCCCACTACTTATACTGCATCCTTGTTTCCTGAATCTCATCTCATCAGATTGCTAACATCCATGAGAGCGAAGCTGTCATGAAAACACATACTACCGTTACAGGCAGCCGCCATTTGAATGCTGGTTGAAAGCTCTTAATCAATGAGAGCATTATGAATAGGTTATTCAACTCGGTTGACAGCAAATACAAAATGACCTATTTACATTTGTGAAAAGAACCTTAAACCGAGTCAAGACATGTGGTCGCTTAGCAGGGTGCGTATTGCAGGGGGGTTAAGTCAGACACACTTGATTTTGAGTTCTGCCTCTCACCAGCTATGCTACTTTGACATTTGTCACCTGGCCACTCCAAGCCCCAGTTTCCCAACCTATAAAAGTGAGGATAATAATATCACCTATTTCGCAGGGCTGTTGGGAGGATGAGATACATATGGAGCTATTGGTGGAATACTTGGCCCAGAGTAATTGCCTAACAAGCGCTGACTAGTTCTGGCATCTGATCTGTCACTCATGAGTCGTGGGCGCCCAGGTTTGTCTCTAATACACTTGCCTGTCCTTTTCTGCAAAAATAGGAATGATATGACTTGCCCTGGAGATTAAATGACTTGATGGCTTTAAAAAGACTGTAAAAGTTAAAAGCATTGACCATAAACAAGTTGTTCATTGTTGCAGATGAAGTATTCAGTTTATGAATTATTCATGCCACTTGCTTTCAACCCTCCTTCTGAAGTTTTGACTATTTCATTGCTTGTTGATTTTTGATTCATAACTTAGCTCCCTTCCCACCCCAAGCCTTTTATCAGGTATATCTGTCTTGGTGTCATAATAAAATCTTTTGAGCCCCCATGTGTATTGCCTTATAAACAACCTTACCTTGACAAGAGCTTGAATTTGTTTTCTGTTTGATATTATCCCCATTTTACAGAGGTGGAAACAGAGGTTCAGAGAAGCCAAAAGAGCCCCTTCTCCATGGTTGGTAAGTAACAGCTCAAGACTCCAATTTCTCCAGACTCCAGGCCAACATTTCCCTGTGACACACTTCTCTTGAAAAATGTCCTTTGCTTAAAGCATTCTGACCAGCGGAAGGACTGCACTTTACTGAATAAATGAATGCAAGAAAATGATTCTTCAATCAACCATGAAGGCTGAGTCGTGGATTAGAGTTGTCTCAGTTCCCTTGGTTCTAAAAATCCTATAATCTATGAAATTTATCTGTGTATAATATCCAAAAATATATTATCCATAATATATTGTGTGAGAGTCTCAAAATAGGTTGTTTAACACACAAACTGATCACCTTTTTTTCCCCCAATTACTCTTTGTTGAATGTCTTCAACAGACACTTCAAGAAAAGTTACACTTGCAGATGCCCTGAGGCAGAGTGGCTCAACTACAAGAGGAGTAGCCTGCTGGACTTAGAGACCAGGGTCTAATTTCAGCTCCAGCTTCTACTAGCTGTGTAATTGCTGTGAAATGTAAGTCCTGTGTACCTCCGGGTCCTCACTGGAAACCAGGAGATGATAATACAGCTCATAAGTTGTCAAGAGGATTAAAGTAGCTGGCATAAAGCACCCAAGTAGTGGCTGGTGCAATCTGCTTTCCAAAAGTGTTGGAACGCTTCTTATCTCAGGCCAAGAATTTGAAGGATTTTGACTTCCTCCTAAAAACATGAAAACATACTAGGGTGGCTTCTCCATCTATGCCCAACATTGCACATGGTGATAAAGGCATCCTTTTATCAAAGTTGGACCCCTCCTTTCCCCAGGGCTATGTGTCTCTCCCTTCCAGCAGTAGGAGTCTTTCTTTCTAACGTATCTTGGCCACATACACCACCACCCTTTGCTTTTCCACCTTCCTCTAGCACTTTAACTTCTCTCATTTCTTATTTTTCTCCCTTACCTCATCATTTATATAAAAGATAAGAATACTCATTTAACAAAATGCATTATGTTCATAACATACATTCTTAATTTTGAAAGTACCTGAGTGGAAGGTTTTTGTACCTCCTCTTCACTGAAGCCCATTAGTGGCGTCAGAAGGAACGCCAGTGAAGGTGAAGGTGGAACGGGGCACCTATCTAGCAAGGTTGACTGGACCCTGGGACTCACAGCCTCCCTATCAGATGGCTCTCACGTCAACCCACAGAGTCATGGCACTCCCTGATGTGGCTCTTGGTTGTCCCTATTGAATGGGTGAGTGGGCCACTATAAAAATAAAATGAAAACTCTCCATACTGAGCCAATAATAGAACTGGAAAATTTCATGGTGAGACTTTCCCTAATTGATTGTGAATCCTAGGAAATAAATTTTCAAGAATTGAAAAAAAAAAGTTCTTCTAAATTTGGAAGTGTTTACTAGGACTAGCAATCTTCTTGATTATCATCTCTTAAAAATATACCATAAGCTAATGAAATACAACATCTATTTGGATAAAATTATCTCACTTTTTTCTAAGGCAGATTTTTAAAAAAGCATTGTTTTTCTTTAAAACCTCATTACATCTTGATTAATTTACCAAAACATAAGCCTGAAGGTATCAGGCTGATTGGGGGAAACTCTGTGTTTCATGGATGGTGTTCTGTGAAGCTCAATTTCATGTTTTTCTTTACATGGAAAAAAAACCGTTATGAAAAGACTCTTTACTTATCAATCTTAATTGCAGTGAAATTGTGCCTCAGCACATATTAGTACTATATTAGTAACGACCACCTCAAATGCCTTCAAGATGTGGCTCATTATAAACTCTGAACCCCTCAAAGCTAGTGACAGAATAAAAGAAGGATCTATATTACCGGTTATTAAAAACTAGGATGAGACAATAATAATTTTTAAAAACAATCAAAATAACATAGATGAAGTAGTTTGGTTAAGATATGTTTTCTAACAGCAAATCTCCCTTTCAGTTATGTTAAAGCTCAGTTAGATCATGCAGTTGGTATTAAAACTTCTAATACTGTGGGTGGTACTCAAGACATCGTGTAAAATTTTAGAAATGTTTTTCAAGCAGTTCACAATGCACCATGGAATTCTTTAGGAGTCACATACTACGTTGCCCTGAGGCTAATCTATTTGTTGGAAAGTTTAATTACCAAACAAAAGCATTAGTTCAGTCATTGTAGAATTTGAAAAATCTACTAGCCAAACAGAAAGAAGTGTGGGTAAATGAGCCTTAAGGGTATAAGTTTTGGGTATCACTTTTTGAGACTAACATTGTTACATTACTTACTGACTGAACTTGGGCACTTAACAATGTTAGGATGATTACTTAACGTCTTCAAGATTCATCTGTAAAATATTCATCTGTAAAATATGGATAAGAAGTGTTTCACAGCCCTGTGAGAGGTCTAAGTAAGATACTGAGCATCTCATCCTCTGTGCTGAGGATTAAATGAGATACCAGGGGTCGAGTACTTAACTCAGGACCAGGGCACATTAAATACCCAAGTATTTTGGTAACATAGCATTTTATAGCTGAAAGGGATCTTTTAGCCATAAAAGATAATTTTCATCTCAGACAGATGGCTTAAAGTCTAGAAATATTAGCTTCGGTCAAGCAATACATTAAAAAGAAATAGAAACAAATAAAAAAGTTCCCCACCAGGCTTAGCCTCTTTCTGCAAGTTGATACACGCAGAGCCAAACCACTGTCCTTTCTTAAAGCACAAAGGTGCAAGATAAGTAAGGAAAACAGCTTCTGGAAAATCTGCACTAAATTTACATCAGGTTGCATGACTATACATTTTTGTAAAGGAAAATGACCACTCCTTTCAGGTGAGATAAAATCCATGGGATTTAAATGAAACCCAGCCACAGAAGAAACAGGCAGTCTGGGTTCTGTTCTATACATTGGTGGCCACCTGCATCCCTCTGGCCAGTGGTCAGGGATCATAAGCATCGAACAGATTGCCCAAACCGTGCCAATTAAAGTTTCACAATCCCAAGCTTCAGAGCTTTCATAAGTGTGTGCAGGGTGTTTCCAGTTTGCTGGAAGTTAATCTATTTTCACTTATACAGTGTGATACTCACTCAAACATTTCCCTTCCTCATACCTGGAGCACATAAACCTTCAGCACACTCTATGAGCTAATGGTCTGCACAGCGTCTGGATTCACTGAGACCAAGGGAGGAATGATGTAACACATTTTCCAACAGAAGATACGCTCACTGAGGCAAGGTTCAAACAAACTGCTGGCAAAGCCAACCAAAACTCTGAGGATCATGAAAAACAACATTAAGAGATTTTTTTCTACCAGTTTAGAGTTACCAGGTTCCACCAATGTAGGTATGAAGTCCACCCTCCCAGTGCCAATCTCTCGGCTGGTGACAAGGCGGCTCTTGTTAACATTTAATTCTAAGATGTGCAGTTTATTAAGGCTCAAACCTACCATCACTGCTTCCCCTGAGGACTACATCTGGAGAAGGTGTCTGCCGGGAACGGGAGCCAAAGGAATCCAGGCTGTCGAAGGAGTCATCTCTGCCGTGTCGAGGGGGAGAGAGGGAGTCGCTGCGCTCGGAATCCCAGCAGTCGATGTAGCCACTGTCTCGAATACTACGTTTAGGACTCTCAATGTCATCAGTCTCCTGTTTGAAAAGAAAACGAAAGGATTACGGACATTGCAGCAGCAGACATAGAGCCTAAATATCAGGAAAATCCATCTCCAGTGGTCTCCAAAAAATCCTGCATAGAGAATCAGTATGGAGAGGCTACGGCAACCAGTTACCAAACTGGTTATCATCTACAAGCCAACGTTTCATTCTTCAACCCTTCCCTGCTGCAACTTTCTCCATCAGAAAATCACACATATTTAAAAAAAAAAAATCCCCAAGCATCTCGTACTCCACAGTGTTAAACAAAAATCTAAGGAAGTAAGGATAAAAGATCATCAAGCTTGGATTCACAAGAATACAATGACAGATGAAAACAAAAGTGAGAAACTAAAACCTTAACCTTGACCCGTCTTTCGGAATCCATAACTGCATGTCTGTTCTGGGACCCAGCCCCTAGCTCAGCCGCACAACTGCTTCTGTTTATGCTGTCTGGCTAATGCACACAGCACTCGTTTTTGCAGCAGAATCAGTTCCGTAAAATCCTGGAGCAGCATGCTTCCATCCCCTGCTACCTTGAAGGGAAATTCCTGCTCTGAAAGGGAGCTGTCTTTCTGGGGCAAAAAGTGAAAGGGGGAAAAAAAAAAGCAATGAAAAATATGCAAAATGCTTTTCCTGATGCCTCAGAAGAATCCAGGCATGCTCTCGCTCTCGGCCAGCTCTTGGCGCTGGGGGAGCTGAAAGCACTTGTGGCTGACCCACATGTTCAGAGCAGTGAGAACAATGGCGGTCTTTGACAGCCTGTGATTATAAATTCTTTCCAGCGCAAGCAGCACATACTAAAACACTGAAACTCCAGCAGAAGAAAGGTCAGTCAAAGCCATCCTCACCCTCGTATTATAATAAAAGCCTTGTTCCCGCCAGTGTCTTAGCATTAATTACAAGAGTCCAAGCTGACGAAAACAGAAATAACTCCAGTCACTCAAAGATAAACCTCAATTTAATCTCTCCCAGACTGTTGCTTAAAATCTGGGCTGTGAATGACATCCACAGAGACTGGAATGTCCCGCTGCAGATTTGCTGGGATACTCAGGCAGGTCCCCTCCACACTCCCAATAGAAAGGAAAAATCAACAAATAGTTTTTGGGTTAGCAATTTTGGAAACTGCCTAAACTGACTAATATGCCCTCTGGAGCCAGTGCCTTTGTAGGAAGTACCCCTGCCGGCTGTTTCTATCAATTAACCAGATCCTCTGACACACTTCCCAGCGCGGGGACCCTTGTGGGGACAGGGTGGCTGTAACTCAAGAGGCACATGCAGGTTTTGCGTCAGGAGAAGGGAGAGCGGGGAATGGCAGGGCTGAGAAGGGCACCCTGCAGCCGCTACACCGAGGACCTGGTTAGTGCCCCTGAAGAACAGGTTGTCAGATGGCCTGGGTGAATACAGCCGACATGACCCTCCAGAGGAAGGCAGGAATTCCAGTTATGGAAATTAAGGTAGTTTACTTGTAGGTCAAAAGTTAACCAGGACTTGTACAAAAGTCAGGCTTGACTAGCAGGAAAAGGGAGAACTCATGACTAACCGAAAAGTATACATCTAAATTGGTTATGGTTTTGTATTTAATTTCTTTGGAAATGCAAGTAATCATCTTGGATTATTTACCCACTGAGAACAAGCCAAATGGCTAATGTTACTGAACACTGAGGATATGTCTGCGGCTATGCTTTGTTGCTTTTCGTATGCTCTATTATTTAATCCTCACAACCCCCTCCCCAGTGATGTGGTTAGCATTGTCCCCATTTTATAGAAGAAAAAAGTAAGAATCAGAGAGATTGAGTAACTTGACTGACGTCACACAGTAATCAGCAAAGCTGTGATTCCAACACAAGACTCTGTTTCTGAATACTGAATGGTAAAACCCGACAACGTTTGATAGCTTTGGTGTAGTTATAGCTGTCACCATCAGCATCACCTTTCCCAACTGCCTCCTTACTCCACAGAAGATGCTAACCTGGACAAGGTCCCTTCACTAAACACTGTTATGCCTAGATCACCACCTAGATCATGTTGCAAAAGAGGCAGTTTAGAGTAGGTTATGGTCTGGGAAGATGGACAGAGAGTTTAAATCCTGGCTCCACCTTATCAGCTGTCTGATCTTGGGCAAGTTATTTTACCTCGCCCTATCTCAGTTTTCTCACCTGTAAAATAGAGCTAAAAATATTTATCTCATAGGGTTGCTGAAAGGGTTAAATGTTATTACTACATGGAAACCACTCAGAAAAACTCCTGACACGTAAACTTCCAAAAAATGTTAGGATTTTTTTTTATCACTACTATGTATTCATTTGGCATGTAAATGTCAATATATAAATCAGACCAAATTTATAAATGCACTTGAGGACATAATCTTATCTACACGCTGGTACTCCTCCATCTCCTTCTCCACTTATATCCATAACTAGATGCCAGGGGCCCAGTTTCCCATCAGGGAGGACAATCACTCAGGAAGCTGGGCCACTGGTCACATCTAGAAATGACATAGTTTAACCAGCTGCTTGGTGCAGCATTGCAACACTGGATTTTCAAGAAAATAATATCAGGAAAGCATCCCCAAACACCCAAATGTCTCCCCGACGCTACCGGACAAACCACAGGAGAACGGAACGGAAAAAAGAGAAAGTCAACATGCTTCTTGGACCTTCAGCTGCTTTCTCACAGCCAGTTATGGGAAAGAAAAACAGAAAGGCCGCTCTGTTCCTGACTTCGTAGAAAGCCCAGAATAAACCCCTGGATCAAGTGAGAGCTGGAAGCCGAGTGGCAGGGCCAGTTTGACAAATGAAAGCCAGGCCACTTCTGGTCTTCCTTGGCCAAGCTGGTCCCTGAGAAACCTCAAGGGGCTGGCTCTTCAGTTGGAGACAAAGATGTGGACATCAGCGGGATGAACGATTTTACTGGATTCCATCATCACCTGAAGGTAAGCTCTTGGGGGAGAGTAAGAGATACAAGCCCACACACAGGCCAGCATGGCCTAAATGCTCCTTTCTAGGGGTCCGCTACGTCGTCTGCACTTCCCGTCCAGAAGCCCAGCAGCAGCGTCCTGTCTTCGACAGAGAACACTCCCGGGAGAGGGGATAAGACCCAAACCTGTCCACTGTGCTAGCTGCTGGTTGTTCTAGTAAAAGTGTGTTAATGAATGGGCTGAGAACTACCAGCTTCCACAATATTTTTGGATTATTTCACTCATCTGTCCTCTTCTTACCCTCCTTTGTCAGAGATAATGAGAACCAGCTAGGGTTGGTGGATGACTTACGGTATCTGAGAAACTCCAGATGCCTCTGTTTTACCACTCACCATTTTCTGCTTCCTTTGTGATTTATAAGGTGGCTAAACTCTATTCTGGAGAGTTTTAGGTTCTACTTTTCCAGCCGGAGGACCTGTCTCCACCCACCACACTCTGGGGTGGGAAGCTACTCATTCCACTGAGCATCTTCTATGCGCTAAGCCCTGTCTCGGTCGGGGGGACATAATGTTAAGCAAATTCAACAAATACCCTGTCCTCGTGGGCCTTATGCTCTAGCGAGGAAGATGAAAAACAAACAGAAAAACTGATAAATGAATACAAAATTGAATGGTCAGTACCCTGAAAAAGTAAAGCAGGTTAAGGGAAGAGAAGTTGATCATCGTTGCTGTTCTAGGACAAAGTCTTGTATATGTTTGTCCATCGCGTTCTCCCCTTTTTACCCCCTTGTTCTGGTAACTAACAGCTCTCACCTTCTGAAACAGTGGCTTAGGCCAATCACGGTATCCCTTATCCCGGGTCACACTGACTGGTTCAGGAACAGGACCTGCCCTGGGCCAGAGTGCACTCTAGGGATTTTACAGCGGGGGCCAGGGAGAAGAATTTCTTTGCTCCTGGGCAAGGAGCTAGAAGCAGGTAATCCCCGGAGTGCTGTTGGCCATGGCCCCTACTATGAGGGAATGTTTGCCTGTTGGAGGAGGGGATGAATTCAAGGAGAGACAGGAAGAGATGAGAGAAAGAAAGACAGAGGAAGGAAGAATCTAGCGTACTGGCTTTCTGGTTCTGGACCCTGAGATCTCCAGGGCCACCCCAGTCTCCGTGGTTCTCCTTCAGTCTCACTGGTCCTGTGGTAGTTCCCTTTGGTTCAGCTTAAGTGTCTCCTCCTTTGGGAGACTTTCTCTGACATATCCAGGCCCAGCAAAAGGCCATGTCACTATGCTTTCAGAGACTTTTTTTTGTATACAGTGATAGCAGACTACTATGAATACCTGTGTGTCAGACGCTGATGTCAAGGGCTCTACATGTGTTACTTGCACTACAGAACTTAACAAGTGCTACCATAGTTAATCATTCTCATGCACATTTCTCCCACTAGAAAAAAAATGAATATAAAAAATTTCTGGCTAGGCTCCTTTGTGAAAGAAAAACTTTTAATTTCAAATTTATTTCGGTCTGTGTATGTGCAGAAGAGATTGCAGCTGTCCCTCAGTATCTGCTCTCCCTTTCTTCTCCAGCGAAAATACTCACAGTTTTTAGATGAAATAAAGCCTCCTTTTCTCACACCTTTCCTAGCAGCTAGGTACGGATTGGTGACCAAGTTCAAGTCAGTGGGATGTGAGCGGAGGGGTGGCGCATGACTTCCCAGAAGTCTGTTTAAGGAAGGCATAAGCCTTTCTTCTCATCCCTCCTTTCTCCTGGCTCAGATGTGGACATGATGACTAACGCTCGCACAGCCATCTTGGACCAGCAGGTGAGAGGCTGTGAGTTGAGGATGGTGGAGTAAAAAGACAGAAGGAGCCTGGGCCCCGATGACCACAGAGCCCCTGCACAAGCCCTGGATTGCTCACGTCCAGACCACATTTGTGTGAGTCTGATATAAAACTCTATCTTATTTAAGCCACTGGTAGAATTTTCTGCATTTCCCAGCCAAATGCAATCCTAATTGATAAAATGAGATAATACACACTCTAGATAAATCTAACATTTCCAGGCATTGGATAGACCTGTGAAGTTCTCTCAACTTTACACAGAGATATGGGGGCGCCACAGATGGCCATTTTTAGTTAAGTCATGCTTCACCCAGTGATACTGACTACTCCTCAGGTCCTGTGACATCGTCTAAGGTGACAGCTGTTCACAACAACAGGCGATTTCAAGGCAGTTGCTAGCAACCAACTGACTGAACAAAAAGAGAAGTTAGGAGAGTTGCAGAGACCAATGGCTGCTCAGATCGTAGAAGAGCTGGACTAGTGGTAAGAAACATCAATAATGAGAAGAAATCAGATTCCCAGAGAACCCAGCAGGGAAACTATCTGGCAGAGCTTTTACATAGTTTAAAAAAGATAATCCATCTATCACTATCCAAGTTCAAATTTAATATAAAACCAACAAACATTTAGATTTCGCAAATCCAGACTGAAACTTACCTTTGTACTTTCCCTAAGTATCCTTAACTCTGTTGAGCTAAATGAAAAATTAAAGGACAAATAACAGTTAAGACTGAGAAACAAAGTGTTGTTTGATTGAGTGGTGTGTTTATTTTATTTTTAAAGGAATTTAGCTTAAAGGACTTTGTTTATGTATGTTATGACCAATAGGAAAGCCTGGTCCATTTATTCATACATGAGCCAGCCTGGTTTGAGCCAAATGCAAAGAACTATTACAACTATTAGCTTTAAGGAAAAAAGAATAAATCATTATAAAGTTGGAGCAAACTCTTGCTTTCTGTATTAAAAGAAAAACTGTAAAGTACAGAATGTCCCTCAACGAGGTCTCATTAGTGCATTTAGTTTGCATGTTAGAAAAAAGAGGAAGAACCAGTCCTTAATTATCTGCGCTGCAATACAGGTCTTATCCAAACCCAGGGATGCTACTGATTACCAGTGAGCCTTACATGTTCACTAAGGCTCGCTGGGTGGGGCTGCTCCCTCCCCAGTAATGCTGGTACTTTGGGTGAGTTAATGAATCTTAAAGAGGAACACACAGGCAGCCACGCACAAAACACTCCACTCTTTCTTGGACAAATTCCTACCTTAGGTCAGTCTTTCCCATAATTAAATAAACAAATAAAGCTGTGACCATTGTAAAACATGTTTTCCAAATTTCCAGGTCATTCAAATACAATGGTCATAAAACACACATCTGAGAAGAGAATGGTTCTAATTTTTCAGGGCCTGTCCAGGGTGGATGCCCAGGCCAGAACTTGGCTGACGTTACCTCACTCACACCAAAGTCCTGAGGGGTAAGCAAAATGACCCTTGGGTGGAAGTGCACAGCAAGTCTTCATTTTTGTATAACACTGTATTGTTTAATTCAGGCGTTATTTCCCCAAGAAAATAAGCACTGAGCTCTTTGGCATCTGAAGCCATATACTGACAGATTGAATTTGCTCTTTTGGAATTAAAGTTGGAGAGAGCTCAGATCCCCCATTCTCAGAAGGGAGTAAAAGTTCAGGTATGCGTGGGATGCACGAAAGACGTCATCGGTGTGACAAGCAGTCGCTTCCTTGAGGGCAGGGCATCTCTGGCCTGTGCAATTCGACCATGTGGAACTGTAATGATCTTAAATACAAGCAACTGTGTTGCCTTCCTGCCTCGTCTAAACCTCATGGGATGAAGAAGGAAAGCCAGGTTACCTTTCTCATCTGAGCCAGCAAGCCTTCAAACTCCTTCAGGTTCAGCGTCGTTCCACTGTAAGATGCACAGCTATTTGCTGCTTTGCCCAGCCAGTAAATGGTCACTAACACCTGGGAAACAGAACCCCGCACGAAGAATTACTTCTAAGCTAACGGGTCAGTACTGCTTCCGAGCAGGAAAGCAGGGGGAGAGGCTGTACAACATTAATTTACAAAAACCACCATCCAAGAGGTAACCATTCCATGCAAAACCATTTTAATAAGAACCCAAGGCTGCGTCAGTCAACACCAACACGACTCAGCAGTTGAAATAAGACTCCGGTTTTAGAAAAAATTGGGTTGTGAGAATGTGACCTACAAGACAGCAAGAAGGAAAAATACATCCTCTAAGATTATTTCCGTGTCATGAAAGTTTCAAAACCAGGAAGCCAAATTTTTCAGAAGCTCTGGCGTGCTTACCCAAACAATGAAACAGGTTGTCAATTCCTTTTGCAAGAGGTGCTTTTAAAGGCCCGTGACTTCTATTTGTGGGCACAAAACGTTTTCAAAGGAGTGATCAAGGTTAATTAGTGGTTTCCAGCACAAGAGCAACACAATATATCTAATTAAAGTCAGAACGGAGCAAGGTAATGAGGAATGCAATCTGCAGCTATGTAGCTTTGGGGTACAGTTAGAGTCCTACTCATCTGCGACAGGAAAGTTTTAGCCTGGACAAGGCTACTGCCAATTAACAACCCTGGACGTCTAAGGATGTCTGTGAATATTCACTGGTCTGAAGCTACAGTCCAAAGTGAACTTTGTTCTGTCTTTCCAAAGAAACTGTCCACAAAGGCAAACAAATAGTCTTTACATTGACTTTCCCACAGAACCCAGCAGGGGTCAGCTGAAGATGACCTCCTTAAAACTGAATTATTGGGACTGGAAGCCTATGAAAATGCTAAGACTATTATTTTGTTTTCACATTTGGCCTTCTTGCTTCAGCCAGGCTGGGAAGTATTTCTTGTACCTCCCTCCACTAGCGAGGCCAGAAAATGCTTTGGACAACATGATTTGTGTTCACGCTTCCAGACAGCAGCAGGCCCACAATACGGTTCTGTGCATCGGCGCTATGGTGTCATTTGGTTTTCTGCCTCTGTGGGAAAATGTTACTTCAGGAATCCTTCAGAACTTCCAGAAATTCTTCTTTAACTCATTGCTTACAAATAAATTTCCAGTGAACAGACAATTGCAAATGTCAGGACATGAACTAGGACCATAAAATAACTAATATGTGCTAAGAGTATGAGGCCCCCTTGAGAAGAATAGTAGGAGAATGGACGACAGAACCGTGATGTGTGTTAGATGGTAGGTTTTCTGTTTAAAACTGTATGATGAAAAATGGCCTATATCCCTGGTTTTACAGAGGAAGAAAAAGGAGATAACAATGAGAATGTCACTCAAATATAACAGCGGTCTGGAAATTTTTTTTAAAGGGGAGGGTCACAGCCAATTTAAAAATTTTATATACAGAAGCTGCTTCTTACATTCTTCAACTTAAACTTGAAGTAAAAGAGCACTGACATACTTGCCTTTGGAAAATCAGATCTAACTCTTAAAAGTTGATTTGGGGAAGTACTAATAAAAACTCAAAAGATTAATAAGAAAATACACAAAAGGCACAGGCCGACGACAGTCAACATTATTTATATTATGCTGATCTCTTCCCCAAAACAACTTGCCCATCTGCTTAATTTAATGGCCCCATCTGTGCCTACCAACGGGAAGGCACTAACGTTAGTGCTGAGATAGAGCACTTTGTGTTTAAGAAACCAAATTACAGAGCGTGAGCTTTCATTTGTTTATTTCAGGATTGAGCTCTTATCTTAGAGAACCGTCCCCACCCCCAGTCTACCATTTTTATTTCCATCACAATCGTGAATTATTCTGTTAGAGGCATATATTCTCGTTTTCTAAGAAAGATTCTAGCAAGGCATTCAAGAGGCATTCAACTTATGAGCTACATTGAACCATCAAAGTGAGAAGGAAAAAAGTTTGGAAAGTGAAGTTAAAACACTTACATTTTTCAGCTTCCTACTATAATCAAGGCTCCTAATCAAGGAAAAGGAAAAGAAAACATGATCAGTATAGCCATTTCCTTACTCTGATCTTCCCTTCAACACCTCTAAGGAGTACTTGAAAGCTAACAAGTATCATGAAGTCAGCGGAATACATTATTTTTAAGGTCCATGATTAAGGATTTCAGGTACGAAATAAAATTGTTTAGAAAACAAAACATAGAAGGATAAGGTGGGATTAAAGTTCCGTAGTACACCATGGAAAGATGAATGCTTTGTAACATCTGGAAAATGAAGAATTCCACTTAAAACTAGGACTGTTTATATTTGTATTCTCAAAGCTTAGTTGTTAAAGGAAAATTTTGCCTTGCTATATATATCACTGTCAAGTTAAATCTGACTGCACTTCCAAAATCTTCTTTATACAAGTACTTTTAACAAAGGTCTAAAACCTTAATTAAATGGACCAGAAAATATACGTAGAAGAGGCAACACTGTCCAAATATGTGCTCTTTTCTGCTATGGACGTAAATTAGCATTGGGAATTAGCCATAAGCAGGAAAATATGCATGCTATGTTCAAATATACACACATGCATTCTTAAATATACATAAATGTTTATTCTTAAATTATAAACAAAAAAAGCTACTGGATGGTACTTTCTAAATATTCATACATTGAAATGTAAAAATTTCTCCCAAAGTATCCCAAAGTTCCTTTAACGTGTCAACAAATACTAGGAAAATAAATGTAGCATTTCTTTTTCCACAAAACTTTAGCTTGGAGGCTGGCTGTGGGGGACTGGGGGGGTGAGGGAGGTGTAGAATGTAATTCCACTATAAGCCAGTCAAGAATTCCATCATGTATATAGATCCCAATTACTTTCTTGCTGCATATTCTGATCCAAAGTATATATTAATGAACAGATGCACAACTTTAAGTCAATTGAGAATTAAGGGAGTAGAAGACATAGTGTATACTAAGGAGATAAACCATCAACAGAGACAGATTGAAAGAAGTAGTGGTCCAATTTGGATTTGATTAAGAGAATGTTTTCATCTTTCCCCCGTTAACATAAAGAATGTCATTATCTGCTGAGATATTTGCTAGGATTTTTTAAAATTTAACAACAAAAACAAAAGAAACCCAAATGAAAAACAAAAATCTAAAAAAGATTGGAAATTTTGTGAAAAACAACTTAAGAACAGGGACCATAAAACTTTTTCTGCACTGACAATAAACGTTTTTTGACTAAAATTGTGACCCAGTTCTAAAAAAGTTATTCTTGGCACATAGTAGGAGCTTACAAAATATTTGTTGAATGACTTTCACATAACAACGAATTATGTGAAAATGCTTTGAAATTTTTCAGAGACATTCTTGGGAGCAATCCAAAGGCTTTCCTCATTTTCATTCAATTGCTGCGATTCCCTGGCATGGTATTTGCTGCAAGCCCTGCTGGATGGCGTTTACATTTCCCATCAGGGTTGTCTGACACCCCTTACAGGTAGAGGTCACGAAATTACACACAGTCATCACTTGCAGGTGATCTCTTTCTCTCTCTTTTTCTTTCTTTTCTTTTCTTTTTTTTCTTTATAGTCTACTCAAGTTACTTCTCAAAAAACAAAAAAACTAAGAAAAATTACCCTCAATGAAAGCTCATCTAAAGAGTATTTTTAAAAAGACAATTTCAGAAAGGCATCTAAATTTCCTCTTTGAGATCTACCCTCTACCTTATTCCTTACACTATTAACTGGTGTCAGTCAGGCGCTCTCCATCTCTGCTAATGTTTGGCTTAACTTTCAGAGGGGAAAGCAGAGAAACATTGCCGCTCTAATTTCATCTACCATAGCTATGAAATCTACAATTTATGTAGATGTTACAAACGTGCCCTGGACAGTAGCAAGTTAAACCAACATCACTCACAGAAAAGTTGCGAAGCAGATAGCTCATTCCGTGCCCAAATCCTCCCTAGTACTAGAGTTTCTAAGTACCGTAAACGAATTTATGGTATAATTTTTAATATAAAGTTTTTCATGCTCTTCTAAATATTCATACAGTGAAATAAAATTTTTTTCTCCATAACTATTCCAAAGTCAATCTCCTACAATGCTTGTGGACCACACCTCACACCAGGCTCATCCTTGCCCATTACCTTTACCACACCGACTACTCTTCTTTCTCTTTGTAGACATCAAGTTTGTTTCTCTTCCCCAGCCTTTCTACCTGCCCTTCCTCCACCCTGAACATCCTGTAGACCTTTGCATGGTTCTTGCTTCTCATTCATGTGTGACCCCTCACCTGAAATGCCACCTCTTTAGAGAGACCATTCTTGACCACCTTTCTTTTTTATCCCCCCTGGTTTTGTTGAGATATAATTCACATAAAACATTATCTAAGTATAAAGTATACAGCACAATGATTTGATAAATGCACATATTGCAATGGTCACTATCTTTTACATCATCTATTTCATTATTATTTTACTTTCTCCTTAGCACTTACTACTCTCCGCAGTTAAAAAAATTTACTTATTTACTTGTCAAAGGGTATAAATTCTATGTGAATGAGGAGCGCGTTTTCTAGTTACTGGAAGGCATCTGACACATAGTAGCTGCTCAGTAAATACTTGTTGAATGAAGGAATGAAAAATGATAGTCATAGGGGAAGGTGATGGAGAAGTGTTGTTTAACGAAAATAGTAATACTCAAGTGAAGGGAAAACTTAAAAGGGAAGAAAATGAGAGAAGAAATGCAAAAAGGGAGATAGACGGGAAGTAAGATAAAGAAGGGAAGGGAGGCACAGGGAAGAGAAGGAGATGGAGCAAAGAAGCAGAGAGAAAGATAAAGAAAAAAGACAGAGAAAAGCACAGGAGAAGGCAAAGCTGGTCCAGTAATTGAGAACTGACTGTGTGTACCACTGGTCTAAGTGACTTTAGGCTGCTTTCTGTGCCTTTAAATTAAAGTCTCTTTCTTTAGAAGTTGGTTTAGCCATCTTCCCAGATCTGCATGAGCAAGCATTAGCTAGAATCATACCTGAAGGAACATTCTGTCCAATTCCATTTTATTGATGAAGACACAACCCTACTGAAGCAAGGGAGCTTGCCTAGGATTGTAGACCTAGGGAGCAGCAGATGTAGGGGGGACCCCATATTTCCTGATGCCCAGTTTGTTTTCTTTTAATTGAAACAGAGTTGATTTACAAAGTTACATTAGTTCAAGTGCTCAGCAAAAAACCTATAACCATTATAGGTTATGACAAGATATTGAATAGACTCTCCTGTGCTATACAGTAGGTCCTTGCTGTTTACATATTTTATATATAGTAGTGTGTGTATGTTAATCCTAAACTCCCAATTTAGCCTTCCTCACCCCCTTCCCCTTTGGTAACCATAAGCTTGTTTTCTATGTCTGTGAGTCTGTTTCTGGTTTGTAAATACGTTCATTTGTACTTGATGCTCAGTTTGTGTAGATAAGCAATAAAGGTAATATGATTTCTGGAATTTCTAAAACCAACCAGTCTCAGAAGTCTTCTGGTTTAGTAACATATTGATTTAGAGTGGCTCTTAAAAAAAAAATGCAGCTGCCAACACTGTCAAAATGAACTTTCCTTCACCCCCCAAAGCAATGTGTGTGTGACTAATTATTACCTACCATGTCACACAGTTACTATTGTTTCTGATCACTTGCCACCCAGGTGAAACTATGAATGTGAGATGAGGCAGAACCTGAAACAATTTCCTAATATGAATAATGATTTATAGAGGCTGGATTTAAGTACAGAAATAAATGGAGCATGTGAGGACTAAAATGAAGTTAAGGGTGGTTTCCATATTTGAACATAGTAATTTTTCTTCTGTTATTTTTGCCCTTAACTAAAATTTTTCCATGAGAAATATTAAAGAAAAGTCAAAAGGTACAAACTTCCAGTTATAAGACAAACAAGTTATGGGATGTAATGTACAGCATGACGACTATGCTTAATAATACTGGATTGTATGTTTCAAAGTGGCTAAGAGAATAGATCTTAGAAATTCTCATCACAAGAAAAATAAAATTTATGTGGTGACAGATGTTAACTAGATTTATTGTGGTGAACATTTTGCAACATATGCAAATATTGAATCATTATGTAGTACACCTGAATCTAATATAATGGTATATGTCAATTATACTCCCCACCGGCCCCCGCCCCCCCAAAAGGCACATTGACAACAGAGGAGTGACTTTAAGAGAATTGTGGCTGACTATGCCTTATTCCCAGTCATGCATCATAAAATACAATATCAACTCCAACTTGATTTCATTTAGTAGTTTCCATTTTTTTTCCCAATTATTTTCCCTCAGCATTAAAAAAGTCAGTATCGGCAAATAGTGAAAAATTAACAGCTCTGAATTTTGGTTTCTCTCCCTTTTCTGCCCTTTCATAATAAAATAACCCAAAAGTCATGAAAAGGAGATATGTAGCCAATCCAAAGACCCTATCTATGTAATTAAGCTTATTATTAAAGCATATTCATGCCAAATATTGTTTGACTAATTTGGAAAATGTTTTATATGAATTTGGTAGAGTCTAAAGGACTTCTAAATTACAGGAAAGTTATCTCTACCATCTCATAAGGACTTTTCTTCTCATTACGCTGGTCATGAGCTATTTCTTTATAGAGAAGCACATTGCTTTTCTTTTACTATAACATTCTTTCCCAAGAATTCTTTGGCCCCAAACCGGGCCCCCTGAATAGATACAGTCAACAATAGCCAAATGGCTAATGATCCATCTTCAAACAACTTGATCACTCACACATATGTGAAAACAGTTACAAATGTAAATGAAGAAGAGATTTCTCCATAATATATTGCCTTCTTTGCATAGTAAACAGGGTTCAGATCTGTTTACTGAGTTTGCAGTCTTCCAAGAGCCTATTCATATGCCCAATTGGAGCCAATAAAAGCTTTTTGTCTAACCCGAACAGATTCTGTGTAGACTTCTCTCTTGCCTCTCCCTCTGTTAAGTTTCACCTAACATTTTTCTCTCCTTGTTTCTAAAATTCTAACTCTACATGCACGATTTTTGCATTTCAAAAAATTATGTTTAATCAGAATGAAGGCTATGCACAAGGGAAGGCCAACGCATCCTGTTTTGAAAGATGAATTTTTACCTCCACATTTTTATTTTATTAGGCATGCCCAATTCTCTGCCTCTCAGACCTTACAGCATCATGAGAAACCTGCAAGTCTAACCATAAATGGGTTTCCCTTAGACATAAATCGTGCATTACTTACTTGACTGTTACTCTGTTGGACGTATCCTGCAGGTCACTCGGGTCAAAAAGTTGAGATTCTTTAAGGCCGAGCTCTTTACAACCTCTCAAGAATAATATGATATTGTCCTGGAAGGAAGAAAAGAAATCTGAGTCTATATTATCTTATATTATCTTTATGAACCAGCCTTTCTTCTTAGTAGTCCAAATGACTAGAGACATGTCAGTTACTAAGGCAGTGAGAGTCAGGTGTGAGTCATGGCTTGTTGGATAATAAAAATCATACTTGCTTAGGAAATGCTGGAGTAAACAGACACTTCAAACTTCTAAAGCCACAGCTATTTAAATTCTTGTTTTCCCCTCTACCTAAACACATCTGTTTAAAACTACAAGTTAAATGCCACTGAAAAGCAGAACTTGGCAATTTGAGGGGAATGGTACTCAAAACCCAAGGACCCCCATTGCTTTAAAGTTTTGCCCATGTCTTACTGCCTAGAATCTCGTCCAAAATTGGTATTTTTTCCTTAAAATAGGTTTTACTACCCAACTTTCACCTTTGACAAGTTTTTCTTTTTAAGTGATCTTCAAAAATACATACTTCATCAGTGGCTTTTGCCCAATAATACCTCTTTGTGGACTATGAACTGAATTAAATGGGACAAAAATCTAGACTTAATTGGAAAGCGAAAAGTGAGGAGGCCTGGAAATCTTTCAAAAATTATGTCAAAGATATTCTTCCTAGTAAAATAAATCTCTCCACCAGGTACAAATTTATTTTGAACTGGCAGAGTGGCAGGCACAATTTACAGTTGAGGACGGTTCTGGTCTTCATCTACTGGAAGTCATTAAGAATAAACAAATGGCTCTGGAAGGGACTGCACATTGTGAGTCATCCTTTTGGAACTCCAGGATATCAGCAGCTACAAGTCTCTATTATCCTCTTCCTAAAAGACTTCTGACGAGTTAACTGGCCCATCAGGTAGTTCAAACTATAAGAAAGGAATGATCAAGGCTGGCTCTGATCAAGGGGAGTCCATCTAAATGCTCTAAGAAAAGATGCTACGAAAATCTGAAATGATGGCAGTGGTAAATGAATCATATATTCACCCATGTGCAATTCAACAAAGTGAACAAGAAGCACAGTATTTCCCAATTACCAGTGTGTAGGCAGGATTCTAAGAGGACCCCCAAGAATCTCACCACCTTGTGGACACACCCTGTACAATCACCTCCTCTTGCATGTGAGTAGAACTTGTGCCTGTGATGGAATATCACTCTGTGATCATGTCATTAACCAGCTGGCTTTGAGCTGGTCAAAAGAAAGATGCTCTGATTGGGCCTGACCTGATTATGGGAGCTTTTAAAAGAAAGTAAAGTCAGAGTTCCTGCCGGCTAGGAGTTCTGTGGGTTCAAGGAGATGCATTCTGTCAACAACAACATGAGCTTGGAAGAGGCTTGGAAGAAGCTCAGGTAGGACCTCAGCCCCCACCAACACCTCAGTTTCAGCACTATGAGACCCTGAGCAAAGAACTCAGTCATGCCATGTCCATAATAACTGAGATAATTAATGGTTGTTGAGTTAAGATGCTAAGTTTACAGTGATTGTATTACGCAGCAATAAAAAAATTAATACATCCAGGCTCAAAACAAGAGCAATAGCAATAAATTGCCAATCTTTATATCACCTTTATTACACGCCAAGCATTCTTCTAAGAATTTTACATATATTAACTCATTTAATCCCTGCACAGCCTTATGAGGCAGGTGCTACTATTATCCTCATTTTACAGATGAGCAATGTGAGGCACAGAACAATTAAGCATCTTGCCCAAGGCCACACAGCCAGCAAAGGATGGAGGTTCAAAAAAACATGGGATCTATAAAGAACTCAAGCCTCAAATCTGAGGCTATGGAGTCAGGGGCTGATCATGGGGACTTTGAAGGCCATGGAAGGCAGTCTGTGGTTGTCACTGCGGGGCAAGGATCTGAGGAATGAACGCCCAGATCTGCAGCATAAGTAGACTGTTGGGGGTAGACCTGGGGGAGGTAGACAGTGTGCAGGAAGGACCTGGGAGGAACCAGACAGGAGACAGGGAGACCAATGAGGAGATAGTACAGTGTCTCCCCCCTTGGAGGGTGGCCCATTCCAGAAGGTTTTCTTTCCTGTTCCCCTGGATGTTTTCAATAGGCAATTGCCACCATTCATAAGACCTCCTGTAGACTGACAGTGAGCTGCTCATGGTCTGAAGTCATCCACACCTTAGCCAGTCTCTCCTACAGTAACTCTGCACATTTTAAAATTATCCAGTTTCTCCGTGGAGTTTCTCTATTTTTCCCTCCCACCTCCAGGGGTTTGTAGATGTTCAGGTGAGTTCTTTCTAGGGCATGCAGCTATCTTTTCTGGTTGGCCTCTGAGCTCTGAGGGATTCTTGTCCAGAGGAAAGCAAAGGGTGGGTCCTGGAACTCTCTAGGAATCATTTGGGACCAAAATGAAAGGAGCAGACCTGTGAACACCGTGTGGTTCCGTAAGAAGCCCATGACTGGCACCTTAGATCCTCAAGAGAGACAGGAAGGTGCCCTCCCCACGTGCATTCCTGGGTATGCCCCTGAGTGCCATGCTGTCTTCAGCACACAGATTGCAAACACAGAAGCACTGCGTTGCCAGCCAGGCTGGACAGTTTAGACTAGGAGATTTAAAGAATTGCAGGTCTCCTTCCAGTTCCTTGCTGTAACCTGATGATGCTGGAGGGGAGCCAGACCCCAGTCAGGAGAAAAGCCAGAAGGAAGAGCCCCCCCAGCCAAGAGCTAACAGGGGCGGTGACTGGAGCAGGCGGGAGGACTGTGCCTTTAATTACAGAAGATGCATCTTGCAAATTCCCATCTGCCCTGCTCTTCACACTGAGTTTTTTCCACATTTCAATTCCAAGCAAGACTAATGTCTTAGTGTCTAAGCTTCAGAAGCCAAGTAACACAACAGCGTCTCAATCCTGGGGTAGAAGGAGTGGAGACACTGATTCACCACAGTGACTATTCTATTCAGCTCTTACTAATGTAGTATTGCAAACTCATTAAGAATTAGGCTTCAAAAGAAGTTTTTAAAGGACTCTTCAAAAAAGTCAATGCATGATAAAACAAAAGTTGGAGACTGAAGAGGCATGATGACCAAATGCACCGTCTGACCTTTGATTGGGCCCTAGATCCAAAAACAGGAAAGCAAATAAGGCTATAAAAATCCAATTTAAATATGGATTGCTGTTGGATGATATAATTGAATGAATGTTAGTTTTCTTAGGCATGATGATGATGGCATTGTGATTATATGAGAGAATGCCTTTATTTTTAAGGGAACGTATGAATTATTTAGGGACAAGTTGTGACTATAACATAATTTCAAATGGTTCAAGAAAAAATACGTACGTGTGCATGTGTAGGAGAGAAAAAGAGAGAGAGAGAGGGGATGATGTCTGCCTCTTATGGAGAAAGAGATAAAGCAGATACAGTAAGATATTAGCAATCAGTGAATCTAGATCTCAAAGGTTGGCAAATTTTTGCTATAAAGGGCCAGATAGTGAATATAGCTTTGTGGGCCTCTGGTGGTCTCCATCAGAATGACTCAGCTTTGTCTGTCATTGTAGCCAGACAAATACATAGACAAATGGGAGTTATCTGCATTTCTATTCAGTTTATTTACCAAGGCAGGCGTTGGGCTGGACTGGGCCCACAGGCTGCAGTCCCCTGGCCCTGTTCCAGGTTACTCAGGTGTTCACGGTGCCTTTTTTTCTTTTTTAACTTTTATGTACACTTGAAATTTCTCCCCCAAGTCTGGAGAAAAGGTTTTTGAATTTGTAAAAGTGTACTCAACTCCATAGGGTTGTGGCTTCACTCGCAAAACCAGTTTCATCAAATTCAAGGGAAAAATAATGGCCACCTCAGAGACAACCATTGCAAAGTCCCGGAGGTCAATGCTCAAGTGCTACTGATGGAAAGTTACCATTTCTGGCTCTCGGGAAAGTGCTGTAACATGAGTCTCAATGCAACACAGGTGCGGAACATAAAGTTCCTAAGAGAGTCCACTTTGTGCTTGACTAGTATTAATATATAGATTTATACTGCTGTTTATGTAACTACTATGCATTTAGTCTTCCTTGTTCTTGGCCCAGTGGCTTCCCATTTCACTCATCTGCGGGCCTGCCCTCTGTATGAAAACACTCCCCAGGGGCGTGAGGTGGAGGCCTGCACTTTTTGCCCTCCCCAGCTGGGGCCTCTTCTCTGAAGAAGACCTTGTACTTTTCTCCCTTTCATTCTCCTCCAAAGGTAAGGTGAAGGCAGGCCCAGGATGGTCTCTACCGCCAGGGGGTAGCAGGGGCCCTGGCATGTAGTAGGTGCTCACTAAATATTGAAAACAAATTAAGTACTATATTCTAGGCACTTACAAGAATGAAAAACAACAACAAAAATTTCCCATCCTCATGGAGTTGACATTCCAGTAGATGAAATAATAAGGACTTACAACAGAAGTATCTTATCTCCAGGATTCATCTTCACCATCTATCAAATAGATGGATTTGTTCAAGATACACATAAACAGAGGTCTGTTTATGAAAAAATGTCTAATCAAACAATGAAAATGAGAGAAGAACAACTCTATCACGGAACACAGTGCAAAAGCTTTGGAGTCAGGAGGACTCTGTTTAGCATCCCAGCCTTACCTGCTTATTAGCTATGTGGCCTGGGGCATGTTTCCCAACCTTTCCGATTCTGGAATCTCTAATCTGTGAGGTGGGGGATGCCACCAACCTTATAGGGATGTCAGCATTACAGAAACTATATACTAAGAACACAGCCTAGGGTCCGGCACCTTCTGGGCACTCATATGGGAGTTATGCATTATTATTGACATTACTGTCAACTCAAGTCAAGAAGGGACCGCAGAGGATGAAATGAAGAACAGTTTCTTCATCCATTACACCCGTAAAAAACAGACACGGTGTGTATTTATAGCCCTTGCCAGTTACATGCGAGATGGTTAAAAAAAAAGGTAATTGCAATTATTGCTGTTTAGCTACTGATAGGAATTGCCAGCTTGACACTTATATACAGGCTGCTTCAAACTTAGGTGCAAGCTATGT